TGCAAGATGCATCTCAAAGAGAGAGAAAGGATATCTGATCTCTAAGAGACCTTTGCTGCAGCATTCACAAAAGACCAACCCATCAGGGCTGGCCCCAAACTCAGGGTAGTCTGGGTTGATCAACAGTCCACAGGCCTCTACTTTAAATTCAACATGGAAGGGTGACATACTTCACATTATCTTTCCTTGGCACATTTTCCTTCTTTATTCCCCATTCTGTTGGTGCACTATGAAAAAACTTACAAGAAATATATTCCCACAGTAAAAAATCTTAACTAATTCCCTAGCAATGGAAAACATTAGGAGACCATACAAAAAAAATCACAATGTAAATCGGACCCAAACAGTTGCATTTGAACTTGATAATAATACGAACAGTCCTTCTTTATCTGAAGTTCCCTGAAGAACATCACAGCAGCAGCAGCAGACAATATCAGTTTAAAGCTCACTTTGACAGAATTGTCTATACAATAACACTGACTTTAGAACAACAATATAATGTACAACATACCCAAAAGAAGTTATACATGTATAAGTTCACTTCAGTACAGTACAGTAATGCATTTGTTTCATGTTATTGGATTCCATTTAATATATGATACTATGACTTGTAGCCTCAGGCTGATCATCCGTTTTTTATTTCAATTCATACATTCTTCTCTCTTTCACATTTTTCCACATTTCAAGGGCTTCCTCAAAATCAAATGAAGCCCTATCACATCCTTCAGTTTTGATCAACATCAGTTTCTTCTGAGTGTCAACTGTAAGACGATTCCGAAAGGCAGTTAGGATATGATTCTGTACCGAAAACCCTCTCTCACAGCCTGCTGTATGGATGCTAGTAGTAATAGCTAACCTGGCTAGGACAAGCCGATTTGGGAACTCCTTCATGTAATGGTAATGGGAGAGCAGACTCCATAATTTCCATGTAGAGTGTCGAGGATAATGCTCTGCTTTCACAATCTGTTTTGCCAAATGCCATTCCTCCTCTGCCTTAGTGGAATCAATGAGAGCCTCTGATGTGTTCGTCATTTCTTCACCATTTTCTTCCCATTTCACAGTTTGTGGGTTGCCATAAAACTCACAAAGAGACCTGATTTCCATATTCCTCTAGTTCAGTGGGGCTAAGGAAGGAAAGAGGGCGCATGGACAACACACAAAATGCTGCTAAGATTCCATCTTCGAGGAACCTAATTGAAATCACAATCATTGCCCTTTTTAAGGTTTGTTAACGGCAAGGCGGCTTGTTAAGTGCGTTTTTAGATCTCGCTTCTTTTAACAAGGATTTTTAGAAAAACGGTACAGTGGATGGTTAAGTGTTTGGTTTCCTCTAGAGAGATCCATGATTAGAGCTATGTGAGCATTTATGTTATCCTTTTAGATATTTTGAGTTCATTTCCCCATGTGTTTTTTGGGGGTCATTCGCCCATGGGTGGTGGAGAGATTATGGAGAGGTAATATTTCTCTTGGGAGTAGAAAGAGATAATGTGTCGCCTTTGGTGTGTGACAAGAGGGTGTTCTTTATTTGTTGCTTTATTTATTATTTGAACATAAAGGTATAGCTTTTCCTGAGCAAATGTGTAACCCTGATTAGGGCTGTTGTTTTGCTTTAGGTCGCCTTATTACAGGCGCTTCAAGGTAACGTCGGTCTTCCATTTTGCTTTTGTGTAGAGACAATGGTTCTTTTCTTCTTTGTTTTCATTTTTAGGAGGGCTCGCACTTGTTCCATTATGTTGGAGTCCGGGGTGGGTGATGGTTAGGTGTTGATTTTGCGCATTTCTTAAGTTCTGTGGATCTTGTAGAAAGCCTCTGCTTGGGACTCTGGGGCCGAGGCCTCTGCCAGCCTGTCCTTTGCATTCTCGACGAAGTTCGAGATGTGGTTCTCTGTGGTTTCCTAAATTTGTGCTGATGCCTTTTCCTGTATTTCAATTAACTGGGTTATTAAAGCATCATAGTCCAGACATCCCTTGACGTCCACACTGGCTCGGACGTTGTGAGTGCCCCTCACTAGATGTTTGGTAATGTGTTCGGCCCACTCTTGGCAGCAGCCGGCAGCGTATTGTTTTGCTTCCTTCACCTCCTCATGGTGGGGGTTGTTTGATGTGTGTGACGCGGTCAAGGGTGAGGGGCGCTTTGGTATTCTACTTCTTGGTGTTCCCGTTGTGTGCCACTTTTTCGACTCTAGTTGTCGACGTCTAGGCCATTGGTTACGCTCCCTCCTCTGTCTCAGTGTATCGCGGTGCATTTTCGTCTCAGGGTACATCATTAGTTGCTGTGTTAACAGACTTATGCTTAATCTCACGATTAATCTGGTTATAAGTAAAGAGTGCCCGGACTTTAAAGGTCTCCTTGATGTTACTTCATTCTATCGAAAACGTAGCCTACCGCTGCGTGTCTTGCAACATCTCATGGAATCTCGTGGTTGAAGGTGATTGTAGGATAATTCAGGCATGATAACCTGCCTGTGAAATACTTGACTTAAAAAAAATCTTTACTAATTCTCTCACAATGGAAAACACAAGGAGACCATTAAAAAAATCACAATCTAAATCAGACACAAAGAGTTGCATTTGAACTTGATAATAATACGGACAGTCCTTCTTTATCTGAAGTTCCCCATCTACAGTTTCAAGCAATGGCATCTGAATGCAAGACACATCTCGAAGAGAGAAAGAACATCAGATCTCCATGAGACCCTTGCTGCAGCATTCACAAAAGATCAACCCATCAGGACTGGCCCCAAACTCAGGGTAGTCTGGGTTGATTAACAGTCCACAGGCCTCCACTTTAAATTCAACATGAAAAGATGACATATACTTCACATCATCTTGCCTTGGCACATTTTCCTTCTTTATTCCCCATTCTGTTGGTGCACCATGAAAAAACTGGGGATAACGCACAGATTTCACAACAGAGATAGAGGGGTTAGCCAAATCAGTGTGTACAACTGAGTACAACTTTGACGCGGTGATGTGGCTGAGTTGATAGTCTCCAGTAAGGTGACTTTGTCTGTTCAACTGTGCTCTCTGCTACATAACCTGCCTGAGCCTTAGTTACAGATATTGTACGTTGAAGAATGTCCTCTATATTGGCGTAAGCAAAGTCTCGGTTTCTGACTGTACTGAATTCCATGGGTCATTGTCCAAGGAGAGCTTTTGGCCTAAATTTGTGAGCAAACTTGGGATTTATTACTCACATGAACCTGCAGTTCCTCAAAAAAGTTACTCATTTCACTCTTTGTAGGGGCTGAAAAATCATCATTCTTCAGCACCACATTACTGTTCATCTCCCCGTTTTTATTCTTTTTGTCCCAGACTGGAAGTCCATGTCCTGGACATGCTTGTATGGCTCCCGTTTGTATGATTACTGGAGGATGGAGCCATCCAGTATGCAGGCACATTAGTAACTGACGTTTCCTTCCTGACTCTAGTCCAGGTTTCCAGTGCAAAAAGCATTGATAAAAACTAAGAGATTTGAAGAATGCCTACTCTTGTGAATGTAAATAAAAACAACATCAAATTGATTTTACAAAGTTATAATCTGAGTTTATTCAAAATGTTTTATTACCTTAAATTTCAACAAGTGAAGACCATTCACTTTTTTGTGTAGGATGTCTTTCGCCCATCCATCCTGGAACAGTTTATAAGCTTTCAGTGACTTATAGTTCCTCATTTCCTCCTTAGAGCATGGTGACTTTTGAAAGATCAGAAAGTGAATTATGTCTACAATGTTCACCTCTGGTCATGAGTCTTTGTTCCTGCTGCTGTGACTTTATTCACAATTATAGTGACTGTCCGTCTTTCCTTGGATATGACACCTCCTTTGAGAGCAGCCTTTGCTGGTATAGTTGCATCTTTATGCTTTTGTGTATCATAGTAAGTATTAACTGATGGTAAAATAACCTGCTCTTCTACCTTGCTCCCAGGCGTCATTATGTCATCATTAACAAAATCTACTTATGTCCTACTCAACTTTCAGCCAATTCTCTTCTATTTTCAACCTTTTCTTTTCCAGTGCTAACCGTTCCTCCTCTATTGTAACCAAATGATTTTCTGTTTTGGCTTTCTCTGCCATCCAGCAAGATCTGTCCCCAACTCTTTTAGCCTTGACTTGGGTAGGACGTGCTTGTTTGGAGGCAGGCTGTTATACTCCCTCCTCTTTGTGCATTGAAGAATTCATTCTTTGTTTTTTGTTTTTTTTTCATTCCAAATACAAAGCCAGAAGATATGTCAGACACTTCAACCATGGACGTTTTTACCCCCCCCAATTTCCCACTCCCCCCTGACACACACTTTCAATTTCCATCAATATGCATATGATTTTTAGAAGTATAAGTAAAGACAATTAGTCAGTCTTTTATTATATAATATTCAGATCACCTTAATGTCAAGGTCCTCTCATGATTACATCAAAAGTTGCAACATCAGTGTTATCTGACGTTGTTGTTGTCTGACAGTGTTGTTGTCTGACTGATAAGGGTTTCCTTTTCTCTGATTGGTCAGGAATAATGATGAAGCCTTTGGTCAATATTATGATTAGTGATTATGTCACAGGTCAACATTTACAGACCTCGGATTAACTGATATAAAATCATAGTCTATGCCAATATATAATATGTGCAAAGTATATTGCACTTAGTTTATCAATATGTTACCTTCATGTTAACAATGCAAAGCACTGGTTGGTTCATCACTTAAAGTCCATAAACAACACTAATAATGATAGAATTTAGCTGTCGTTAGCTTAGTGATACCTAGCTTTGGGCAGAACCTCAGCAGCAAGAATATCATATCTCAGATACACTTTTCAGCTACTGTTGCTTTGAAATAATTTTAAATCTGGTGAAAATTTAGTTATAATGTCTATTTTTAATTATTAATATAGATGTAAGTTAAAGCTGTATATAAAAACGTGTTTTGGTTTGGTCCATTAGACAAAAATGTGTGGTTTGTGATATTTATTTTGTACAAAAAAATAAAGAAAATAAAAACACTATTATAATCATCTGAACTGTCCCTTTTATTCTGTTAAATATAGGGCAGTGACATATGTCACATTGCATAAATGTCATTTTTATCACATCTATGATAATGGATAACACTTCCACAAAAAGTATCAGAATAGAAACTACTACTTGAAGGCACCTTCACCCACAACTACGAATGTACAAACAACAGAACTGTGCCAATGTAGAAACAAACAAAATGTACAAAGAAAAGTAAAAAAAAAAAGAAAAAAAAAGCACATCATCTCCATACTTTTATACAAAAGTACTGGTCCTCTAATTCTTTGTAGTATATTAAACAAAAATATAACGGATATATTATTAAGTATCTACACTTGAAAACGAATATTACAGTAGTTACAAATAAGTAGTATAGGCAGAACACTTGTAGACTTAACACAAATCCCATATCCATAACAAAACAAAAAAATATTTATTTGTTAAAATTCTCTTGAATAATATTGTGTATAATTGTTTTAATTGTCTAAATGCATGTGGTTCAGTGCTTAAATATAATAAACTTAGTGACATACTATTAATAAAACAAAAAATAGAGATTTTAAGTGCATATTAAACTTATAATACAACATGAGATTTTTTAAATTATCATTTAATCAGTCAAGATATGAGATTATGAAAAAAGAAATGTGCCCAGCATAGATAAAAATTTCAGGCCCCATGATAAGCTCTTGTAATACCCTGCATTATTATATTGCTTCAAAATGCTCTGAGATTTTTAAAGAATTATTATTGCTACAATACATCACAACTCTCCTGACTGAATACCGTTACTGAGGTGTGTTTTCCAAAAATTCTGAAACCAGAGATTCCTCTGCATATATTCTTATAATGGACCCCTAAATAAGTAAAACTGCTATTCACCGGTATATGGGCAATAACCCCATAACTCTCAATTGTCCTAGAATCCAAATCACCAAATTCTGGCTTGTTACATACTTGCTTTAAGATCAGGAATTAAGTCTTGATTAAAAAAAAAAATGTACAAAGAATGTAAAGTAAATTGTAGATAAAAACAAATGCACCTTATGAGAGATGCACCATTTCACAGTTGCATTTGTCTACGAAAGAGCCCTGACCTCTTCTTCACTAATATGTGATCAATCTGTATAAGACTTCAGTTGAGTTGTAAGTCCACAGTAAATTTCTGTTCTACAGCTGCAAATCCCTGGCACCAGATGAAGGCTTGCACAGGTAGAATGTCGGCTCCCCCTTGTATTTGCTCTGGGATAAAGAGATAGTGGGTAGTACACATGTAGGACTGTTAACAGATAGATTTGATTACAAAAGGCGAGACATGATTCAAATTCCCAATTCTAAACATCTTTGCATACTCTTAGTTCTGACAAATAACTATTATCATGACATTTATCCAACATTACCTACAAAGCTATTGTGAGAAATAATTCAAATTTTATGTATGCTGTGCAACATAAAGGCCACAGAAAGAGGTGATTTTAATTCTCATTTCTAATTATCTTTGCACACTCAAGCTCAAACTGATATGGAAATTTATATTATATAATCATATTATAAACCTTAACTAAATTTTTATCTCCTGATACCATTAGACTAAAATAGGTTTTGATTCACATTTTATCTGTTCCATACAGTATACAAGGCTACTGAAAGAATGAAAGTGATACAATTTAATTCTCATTTCTACGCATACCTTTATATTCTGCATTGTTTTCTCTGCTGCATCAGACTTGACCAAGGTCACTGTGCAGCCTCCAAACCCACCCCCGGTCATCCGGGAACCATACACACCGTCCACTTCCAAGGCTGCTTCAACCAGCTGGTCGAGTTCTGGACATGAGACCTCATAATCATCTCTAAAATGTAAAACGTTGTGAGAAAACATTATTACAGACAAATATTAATAAACCACTGAAGAAGTAATTTGGTACATTTTTAGATATTTACATTATTTTCTTTTTACTTTTTGATTCCTGATTTAAAAACAAGTACAGTGTGTGTGTGTGTATTTCAGCCAATTATCAGACAAATCGGGGGACAAAACAAAGTATGAAACAATGAGATATAATAATAATAATAATAATAATAATAATATTTATTTATAGTCTAAAATCCAACATGTGTTCAGTAGACTTTACAAAAATTATAAAATTCAAATTAAAAGAAAAATATTGCTAATGGTTATAAGATGAAAGGATATATAAAATGGATAAAAAAGGGGAAATTTAAAACTATGACTAAGAACAGTTTTTCTTAAGAAGTGTTTTTTTTTTAGGAATTTAAAGATAATATTGTTTAAAAAGGTGGGTTTTTAGTTCCTTTTTAAAATGTCCAGGGTCCACAATTTGTCTAAGACTGATGGGTAAAATATTCCATTCTTTTGGTGCTGCAAATTTAAAAGCTTTATCACCGTATGATACTAATCTTGCCTTATAAACCTTAAGAAGAAGGTGATCACCTGATCTGAGATTTCTTGATGGCACGTAGTGTAAAACAAGCTCATTTAAATAAGAAGGTGCAAGTTTATAAAATGCTGCATGTGCAAATGTTAAAAGTTTGAATAAAATGCGTGCTCGGACAGGGAGCCAGTGCAACATCATTAAAACAGGAGTAATGTGGTTGTCTTTTGGAGTGCGGGTCAGTAGGCGAGCAGATATATTCTGTACACGCTGTAGCCGTTTGATTTGTTCCTCTGAAGATCCATAAAGAAGGGAGTTGCAGAAATCAAGTCTCGATGTAACCAGGGCATGTATAACTGTTGCTGTAGAAGAGTCGGTTAAATGTTTTCGTAAGGAACCAATGTTTCTAATATTGAACATACATGTTTTGGATACGTTGGAAATTTGCCTGTTCATGGACAATGTACTGTCAAAATAAACTCCCAGATTTTTGGCGTGAGATGAGACTTGTACCACGCTGGCACCTATTGACATGCTAAGACTGCGGGCAATGTTCTTATTGTGTGGTTGAGATATTACTAGGAATTCAGTTTTCTCGTCGTTGATCTTGAGTTTGTTTCTGATCATCCACCCCCTTATATCAGAAATACAGTTGGCTATTTTAGTAATTGATGATTCAGGGTTTCTAATATTGCAGGATGTGTAAAGCTGAGTGTCATCAGCATAAATGTGATATAAATAGATAAAATGTGATAAAAAACGATGCAACTAATCAAAAGAAAATACCAGTTTTGTGGAAAGTATCATCAGGGTTACCAATACACCAAATATGATAGAATTCTGGTGAAGTTGCTAAAACAGCTAACCTCAGAGAAATGTGACTTTCAACCATTAGCTTGCCGAACAAAACAAAGTCTCCATTCTCCAATGCCTGGGCGCCCTCTTCAGTTCTGAGGTTCTCTTGGATCACGTGTCTGGCTCTACGGAAGACCACTTTGTCAAGCTCGTTCTTTGCAGCTATAAAGCATAATTGTTAGAAATACTAGTAGCATGCTAAGTAAATTTTTGTCTCTTTATTCAGATTTGTCAAGAAATAATCCGCATCATAACTGAGATTAATTTCCATTTGAAGTATTTGCAATAACATTTTCCCTCGAGCCACAACTTCATACTTTTCCTGTGGTTAGTAATGATACAGGTCATGATGTAACTGAGATATCTAACCGTTTAAAGTATTTCCAAAAAGTTAAAATTTTCCTAGGCCACAGCTTATGAAAAGGATCAAATAAAATTATTTGACTGGTTTTCGAACTCAGACACACAAAACATATTATCCTTTTCAATATTTCTTCTTTTCAATGTTGTTTAGTTCAGCTGGGCTAGTGCTACTTCCTTTTTTGAAACCAAATATCTTATGATTATCAGCCAAATCATTTATCTTGAGTGAAGTCGGTTACCATTTGATAATGAGGTGCTGTCAAGAATGTATTACCACTTCAAATGTTAGCATGACAAAAAGGTGCACCAGTTGACTTCATCGGTAAACATGAATTGATAATTGAAAATGATGAAATAATTGGCAATAAAAGAAAAATATCACCTTGATGGATTCACAAGTCTAGAGCAAATCACAAACTAATTTTTCAATCAAAAAAATGAATATCTCCAGTTTTTGATCCTCACCTTCAAGATCTTCCATGGTGGCATCCCTGAGACTCTTCTTGCCCATCTTCTCAGCTGCTACTCCACACTGAGTTTTCCTTGTGGAGTACTCGCTGCCTGTCAGCTCATGGCGAACATTCGAATTAGTCACCAAAACCGTCAGGTTGGAATCTTTTAGCGGAACCAACTTTGATTCCAAATGTCTTTATGCAGGAGAGACAAAAAAGTATTTTATTACACATGGAGGTGTTTGGGAGAAAAAATGATTGAAATTAATTTCAAAGGATATTACATTGTGTATAGTATCATATCTTGTATATATTCATATATATTCAAAACATGCATGTGTCAAATTTTTAGTACACACTCACTAAGCTTGACGCTATTAGCAGATATTTCTTATTATAATATTCAAGGTCAATCAATTCTGGGTCACATAATATCAAACAACATAGTATTTTAATACGATTGACTTTAAACATGTAATACATTAAACATACCTACAATCTATCAACAAAGCATGCCCTTCCTTGGCCATCATAGACACAAACTGATCCATGATTCCACATGGAAGGCCTGCAAAGTCATTCTCTGCCTTCTGACAGGCTAAGGCTTTGGCTTTTTGGTCCATGTGGTTTGTGGAGGGGGAGAGCTGGTCAAGGAAAATGTATGTGGACACCAGGAGAGCTGCAGAGCTGGACACTCCTCCACCCAGAGGCACTGAGCTGTGGATTATGGCATCAAATCCACTGAGATTTCCTGTAAAAATATCCTTTTAGTTGTTTTTAGTTCTCAGTTGCAATAATAATTTAAAAAATCAGCTTAAAACAATTATTTTTGATTATATATATATATATATATATATATATATATATATATATATATATATATATATATATATATATTCTCTACTGAATGGTAAGACTCCATTTATTAATTTACTACTAGTTTCTTTGAGACCAACTACTTCGACTTCAGTAGCTGAGATTTCCCCACGATATAAAATTTAATTTAAACACCATTACAACTATGTACATATATGATCATTGTAAGTTGATAAGAAGCTGTTCAGTATATTGTTTTACATGCAATATCTTTAATATGAAAGTACAGTCACTTCACCAAAGGTAGGTATAGTATATCATGCAGGTGCTTAACTATATAAATACACATTAAGAATAATAGCAAGCGTCCTAGCCTATCACGTACAGATTTAAATATAGGTCAATCAATTAATCCAACAAATCTATTCACTTTCTGCATAATAAAATGCAGGAGTGGAAGCAGATTGCACTTCTTTGCCAATAAATTATATTCAGATATAACCAGTTTTTATTTCATAAAATTACAAAATGATTTAAAAATTCTAACAAAATTAAGGTTGGTTTCATTTCTGCAATATAAAGGGGAGAGAATACTAAACAGAACTTTACCTTTAAAATGGGATATAACTCCTTTGACATAATTTGCCCATAAAGGTTTCCCCCTCTGTAGTGGGTTGTCCTTTGTGGGCACAGGGAATGATATAGACTTTGGCTCATCTGCATGTTCTTGTGTGGTCACAATATTTATAATGCCTTTCTCAGTTTTGCTGCCAACAAATAAGGTAACCAGAGGTAAGGCCTAAAAAGAAGTTGTGAATAAATAAATGTTAATATTAATAATTTCGAGATGGCTTAAATGTTATTTTTACTTAAATTTGCTTTTAATAAACAATAATTTTATTTACAGATACATAAAAAGCCAGCGTCAATTCCCACTTACACATATAAACCACTTCAACTAGCTTCTTATGCAACCAAAATAAAATTGACATTCCAAGTCATAAACAAAATATCTAGTTCAGCCATAAAATAGCTTTAAAGCTGCACCTTCACATTTCTGTTCGTAAATTGACCCATTTATCTGTTCCTCCAGTTCATAAAGGTCAGCAAGATGATGAGTACTGCACGCCCATTGCATAAGCATTGCTCTTACTCCAATGTAAATGCATGTGCCCACAACTGCATTTCTATTCAAATGAGACTACTGAGGGATATTTATAGTGAAGAGGGCAACCAGAATAGATATATATCCATTCTACTATCATTTTACGGGAAATATGAAATAATGTCCTTTTGTATTTCTCTAGGCAATACAATATGAAACAATATGTTGGTGTTTGTTTGAGTTTCGTTGCAAACATTTGACTTAAGATGCATCTTTAATTTATTTGTTGCCATGCTTTACAAGTTTTTTTTCTAAATGTTTTTAATCTTTCTTTTTTCACAAGGAATAAAGATCACATTCTATTTAGGCAGCATGTTTTGTATCATGTGGCACATGTATATTTAGTTTTCTAATGCAAGGTAATGCATACTTCATAAAAAGATTAATCGTATGTCTGCCTTTTTATAGACTGGTAAAGTCGGTTATGTTAGAGCCATACGTATAATTCGTTAATTTACTATACAGTGTACATGCTTTCCTACAGGTGTATTATATAGCCACCCTGGGTTTCAGTGGCTACTCTATAGCGGATGTCAGGGCCCATTCCTATTGAAACTATTGTTCTATGTAAAAAATGGTGCTATTGTTCTACGCAGATAGATCCAACTCTGCGGGGACTCTTGCTGAATGCAATCAGATTAACAGATTAACAAACCTCTTGTTTCTAACTTATTTGTCTAATCAGAGACGACAGAGAAGAAATGCCAAAGTTTGAAAGCAAAAGGGGGGGGGGGATTATTAAAAGAAGAATTAAACAAGATGATAAAATCAGTGAAGGATGGGAAGGCAACTGGACTAGATGATCTACCAACAAAAGCACTTAAAGCCCTTGATGAAAATTATAATTTGTGTAACACCATCTTCAACAGTGGAATATTCCCAACTGAAATGAAACACTCAATATTTGTAACTCTTTTGAAGAAACCTAAAGCCAAACACTGTACTGACTTTAGATCAATAATTTTAATAAGTCATATTACAAAGTTTTTTTTGAAAGTAATACAGCAAAGAATAGCAGACAAAATTCAAGCCAAGAAAATTAACTTATTTAGACCACATCATAAGAAAAGATTATTTGTAGCGGTTGCTACTGGAAGGAAATTGGAAAAAACCAAGAACAACATGGATGGACAACATAAAAGAATGGACTTATCAAAAATATAGTGAAAGTGTATGAATGGCACAAGATACTGTACACAGGCATGGCAATCCACAACAGCCAACCTGCTGATCATGAGAGTCATATGGAGAATGGATGGCACCCAATGATGATGACATTATATTAATATATTAAAAAATAAATATAGCTAAAACATATAATACCAATACAGCTAGGCAACTACATCATGTATCTTCCTTTATGTAGAAATGCATTAGTTATTACATGTTGTATTACAGATGTGGGCATATCAAATAATTTTAATAAAATTTTCATCACTGGCAACCTCTGTCTTAATGCCTCTTGAATACTGCTGCAGGGAAATAACAACCCATATAAGTCAAATATTAACTGACAGGCAGGATTTTACTGCATCCCTCATATATAGGAAATGATCGTGACAGTTGCAGCAGTGTTATCAAGATCATTCATTAAATATATAATTAGACTAACAATAATATATTAGACTAATATACCCGATATATGCAGTAGAAGCATCAGTATTCAAGATAATCTTTCCTTTCCAATTTATCAGATTTTGCAACATTTATAGATATTTTTTCATCATAATCTGATCTCATGAAGATTTAACACCGTACATAAGAGTTTCTCCACTACATTCTGAACCTACACTCTCAATTTTGGGTTTCAAATGAGCAAACTGAAGCATGTGGGTTGCAGCATTTGAACCAATAGATAGGGTAAGATTTAACAGCATGCTTTAAATATCCCCATGTGAATATTGCAGTCAATTTTCAAAACCCAATAGTGAAGATTAAAAACACTTGTAGCATGGGAACAATTGCCCAGAACATTTAGATTACATCTTTTTGTACCTAGATCTGTTTTTAGGGAGTAAATGTATTTATAGCGGCCTGGGTGTGGAATACACATGTGATATAATCAAATTACAGCTGGTTATTTAAACGAGCAGCTGAGAATTCAATATACCTGTCTGACTGACCAGCTGTCTAGCACACTGAACTGGCCTAAATATAAAGGCTTGACCTGGTCACTGCTGTGATATTCTGCACAAATTCAGTTGCCCAATGTTCACTGTCTGGTAAAAATATGGTGCAAGTATCCTACATTTGTTGGTGTGTGTCATTATTAACATGTAACAATATAACTTAACTCTACTGCCTGTATAAAAAGAAATTATAAAGTTATAAAATTATAAAGATGAATTAAATTTGCACCTGGGTTTATTTGAGATATTATAATAACAAGAACCTGTCTACTTATTCATGACAAATTGTTATGGTATCCAGCTCTTAACCTTTTGAAAATTGTTTTTTACTATCTACTGTGGAGACAATGGCAGACTCACATGTGTCTGCAGTGCCTTGTGCCAGAATTAAAGGATATTAATGCAAACTAGAAAAGTAAGAACTCGTTCAAAGCAGCTCAATTCTCATTAATATTAATCAATTATCAGTTATTTATCTTAACTATCATTACTGATTATCTATTAATTAACTAATCAATTAGATAAATTCTCATTATTTATCTATTATGATAAATTCTCATTATTTATCTATTAAATCATCAATTATTTATTATAAGTTAATGAATAATAATCTACTATAAACACTATACACAATCGATTATCATTGTTTATTTTTTATTTATTAATTTTACAGACACTTATTGGTCTTCTAAAATCCTAACAAGAATCAAGTTTATTTGCTGTAAAAATAAATATGTTTTCCTCACTGGTGCTGTTTTTATTTTCATTTAAAGTGTGACTGAAATGGCAATGAAATTAATGGCTACTACAGCTAGAACCCCTTCCAAAGGAGATGCGGTATAGAATTTCTTTAAATGTCATGCTTGCCCTACCTATATATACCTCAAGTATACATATAGAGACTGTCTATGACGGCAACATCTTGGAATACATTAGCATTTATCCCAGATTAATGAATGAATGCGTGTCTGAAAACAGCAAGAGGAGACAGATAAATGGTTATTTCTTTGACCTTTGAAATGTGTGGGTTGGCATGAATACCCTGTTCATTGATGACTTTCTTTGAAGCATGATAAACAAAATTCCATGTTAGAGGGCACTCAGAACAAGTTGATCCCCAGACTAAATATGGCCGACTTACTTAAAAGCAGCGCCGACTAATTCCCTTCTGGCCTCCCTGCCTCCACATGCGCTGTCGCTGCTGCTGCAGGGGTCTTGCAATTAAACCTCAGAGCTGAGATTAAACCTGATAAATGGCACAGGTAGAGGCGGGGAGACCATCAGGGGTTTAAACAGCTCTGCTTTCAAGTGGGGTCAGCCATATTTAGTCCGCAGATATGTCCACAGATCATCTGTTCTGAATGTGCTCTTATATAACATTTACTCCTAAAGGCAAATAGTGCCAGTACTGAGTAGGCAAGGTGCGTTAAGGGATATTAGTGTGGCTTATCTATAAGTTAAAGGAAGCAAATTGCATAAGGTGCACTAAGGGCTTAAACGTGCCTTATCTACAAGTTAAAGGCAGCTGATTAGATAACAATTAACTATACCGAAGCTACGCAATATATGTATCCCTTATTTCAGTCCAAAATTTCAAATTAAGGATTTGAACCAAAGTTTAAGAATATGGCTCTAAGTATGGCAAATGTAAAAAATGCTTGTTGAGAAAACTGATACAGAATTTTCTTTTTAAAGATAATTTTAAAGACAAAAATTTGTGAAATAATCATAAATGTCGCTTTTATATTTGAATTCACCCACACTTGACGCTGGAATGTCAAAATGAAACCACAAGGATGTTATCAGTGTGGTTAATTATTTTGTTTGAGTACAAGTACTTGTCTAGACATTCCAGGCTCACACGCTGATGTCTAAAACATGTAGATCTAAAACTACATGTATTTACTCTTATTGGAGCAGAGGAAAATATTAAAAACCTTTCATGGCAATTGAAACTAGATTTGTTTTTGATCACTTGCCAAGTTGGGTAGAGTCAATTTGTTTGTGTGTGTGTGTGTGTGTGTGTGTGTGTGTGTGAGGTTTTACATTGGCAATGGTCAGGTTTGGCAATCAAAAAGTCAGTCATGTACTCTCGGAATGAAGTAGTCATTTCTCTTCATTCAACAGCTAGTATTAGAGAATTGTTGCCTTTAAAAAAACAGTGATGTTCAGCTTTTTCAACCGTAAATAAAACACTAACTGAATAATAAACAGAATTATCATTCATAATATTCATTTACCACTTGGCAACAAGGCCTCAGACTAGAGGCATTTATTTCATCCTCTGCGCTGTACACATGCCGATGGAAGCCCTAGTAAAGGACAGCCTTTTAAACCACTTTTTAAAAATTATTTTTGATATATAAATTAATATTTGGGTATATATGACAAATAAATGAGAATTAGAGTACTTTGATTAAGACGGAACAATCTGACTTGGGAGCGACGGCTCAATTTTCGGACAAGATGAGGATGTACGTTTTAATTCCTTGATAAATTTTTTAATGCACAGTGAAACTACACTGTTGATGGTGTCTTCCATCGACATGACAGTTTTAACAATATTTCATGTCTATAACTAAATTTTAACTTAGCATTATTGGAGAGACCTACCATCGGAAAAACAAATCCCTCATTATAGTCTGTGTGTTCTCCTATCAGATTTACTCTTCCAGGCGCACATGCAGCTAACGTTGGCTTGTATCCATAAAACCTCTCAAACTGATTCGTCGCATTTTTCAGTAATTCTTCCACTTTCGGAATCGGTTGTCCACTTCCACATGCCATAACGTTGCAAAAATCTGTTCTGGCCTGATTTTCCAAGTTCTTTTCAGTTATGATTTTTTTCGAAATCTCTCCGTTTTTAGATGACACACCTCTTGGTTTCTCGGTCTCTTTTGTTTATGTCTAGTATCGGATGTTGGAAAGTGTGGCGTAAATGCCGCGTGGCAAAAGATTTGATTTAATCACCATTCTATTAAAACTGTGTACACGTGAAAGGTTATATGATTAAAATGTTAATATCATTTTAATTTATAACTGCCAAAATCTGCACCAATTTTAACTCTTTGCAAACGAAACCGAAACAGATTGCATTTTACGACTTTACAAAGTACCTACTTCAGAAGGCGGCATTGATTTAGTTTCCAAAGTACAATCAAGAATTATCGTTATTTCGGCTGATGTCCACCGGGCATGTACGGCGTGACAGAGTCTTTGTCTGGGATTAACGATGTCTGTGAGTGATCCTTTATTGAAGAAGTTAAAAGGTTAGTTGAATTTATGTTCCTGACGTGTTGATATGGACGAGGAATAAGCTTAAAAAAGATCCGCCCCCTGCGAATGTTATACATTGTCGCTGACGATGCGGCAGCGATGTCGCTGGCTTACAATCGATGGAATGTCAAATCATATTGAGAGATTTTTTAATTTTAATCTTTAAGTAGTTAACTTAAGTGATTTATGTGTCATTATAGCTGTTTATATGTTTCTCAAATGGATCTGTAGTAATCTGTTGGTTCTTTGTTTAAAACCTATAAAAATGTCAATGACCAGTAAGCTTGGTATACATGTAGATTAATTATTGTTGCTGATTTTTCCGAAATAAAAGTTTAAATGTAAAGTGAAAAAAGTAAAAGTGGTTAACACACACAAAAAAAAAAAAAAAACGTACAGGAAACTGTTCAAAACTATACACATAGGTTACAATATAGTAATTGTCACATGTACACATATATATCACACAGTGCATGTACACAAGCACACAACTACTCACAAAGGACAAAACAAGCTCCATTTAAGATCACACATATAGGTAGATACCAGTGAGTTGAAGACTACTTAACTTTTTCTGGCAGCTGGCAGCTGAATCAAATTCGGAACAGTACTATAATCTGTACTTGTCTACAAACAAACACTAATAGTTCTATATATTGTTTTATACTCTATAACCATTCTACTACTGGAAATAGTCATTTTCTTTTCCCTTGAATTTAGAATATTATAAAAATGTTTAGCTCTCTAAGAGTCCTTTTGTCAATTTTAGTAAGCATTTTAGTGTATTTGACACTATATATATTATGTCATTGTGGGTAGAGATGGTACGTATTACTTAATAAATCTAATGAGACTCATACTTGGAAATATGACATATTCAGGGGCGGATCCAAGGCTATTTTCTGACAGTCTTCCAAATTATATTTGTTGATCCATCCTCTATTTTTGACCGTCTTCCGACAGAAAAAGAATAGATACCCGTCAATGTAAACTTGAAAATCTGACCGTCTTCCGGAAGACCCAGAAGACGGCCTCAATCCGCCCCTGATATTCTTCCTCAGGTTTTATCTATGAGTTGAGAACAGGAGAAGGCCCAGTTGAAGATGAGAACACTTACTTGAAACCACTCTGTGAAACCATAGAGGAAATTCTCAGGAAAGGATTGAGTAAGTTTGCACAAATGTGTATTGGGCTGCATTTATATCCGTTTTAAGACAAAATTGTTTCTCACTGTACAAGAACCAGAAACCAGGGACGACCCCTTTTATTTTATTTCTCACACCTATAGGAGGTCCTTATACAGTAAGAAACATGTACACTTGATAATTGCTGTATAAATTATTTTTGCTAAATGTAGAACACCTTTCCCTTCGGCAGCCTGTTTGAGTGGATGTCCATTATACATATTGGACCCTGGGTTAGCATTCATTTTGTAAAATGGTCTACCAATCCATGAATTGTGAGAAGACAAATATTAGAAATGCTGACAAGTAAGAAAGTACAATGTGAGTGATTTTAAAAGTTATTATTTTAAAGAATATTATTAATAATTTTCTAGAAACAAGTGGGATGTTTCGGCTGAGTAAGAAAGATTACTGGCACTGGATAGATTCTCTACCCAACAATTCAAACATCAGGTACAGTAGGGCTACCCTAGGTTCTAATTTTCAGTATTGCCAGCGCAATCTTGATTTCATATCATATATAACTCACATCAGCCATACTGTAAAGCTACCACATCATGAAAAGTTATAGTGAGCAAGCTAGCTTTATAGTGACCTGACACTCAGGGCAAGTAAGGCTGAAACAAAAAAAGAAAAAATAGTGACATCTACCATTCTTATCTTGCCATTAGATGTTATTGGCATTTTAGTGTTTGGTGATGTACTAACAGACCTGGGATATTATGGCGACATAATTTTGTGGTGGAGGGTAGATTTATTTTACTAGTAATCAGATTTGGCATGGTATTTGGAAAATTTCAGCATTGATTTTTTTGTCTTTCATGCAGTTAACCTTCAAATCACTGTCACAAGTAATCCCAATATTTACATGAAAAGTTGACTTGGGCAGATTAAGTGACATTATGTAGTATATAATACATCAGTTAACTTAATTTCCTTGGTCTGCATATGGCAAATTACTTTTTAAGTGAGAAAATTCTCATGTTATGGTTTGGTAGATTTAAGGAATGAGTGGTTAATCTGTTTCAAATTCCAGAGTGAATCCTATATTTTCTATGGCAGTGGAATATGTTCGCTCATCAAAAAAGGTACATTTGCATTAAGTCCTTCAAGTCTTTTGTGTGAGAGTTACTGGTTAGTTTGAAAGTAATTGTCATAAATTTATGAATGCCTTGATATAATGATTGGATGTAAATTGACCTTGACTTTTGACAATTTAGCAAAGCATTCAAGGACACACGTGAAATTTAAGAAAGTAATGTAGCATTTGATGAGTTGAGACTTACAGCCATTCTCTATAAAAGAACGAATTTCTTGTACATGTAGCCATTCTATAATGATGAGAGGCATAATTACATATAAGACATTGAAGGAAGATATAGTCATCAACAACCATGGGAGAGAAACATGTATCTGTAACTATTTCACAATCAAGGAAGAGATAATCATTCCAATTAAAGCATATCAATTGTTTTGCAGCTAAAAACAGCCCAAGGTAGAGGCAGGCTGTTTATCCGCAGTGCTCTACAGAAGAAAGTTCTGTCTGTACCCCTGGAACAGATCTTGAAGAATCAAAAGTTACTAGAGGTATGTACTAGTACATGTGCATTGTGAAACCATGGATATGAAATGATCCCTCAGTTTGTCATAGTTATTCTGCCTCATTTTCCATGTTCAGCTTCTCACTCTCTGTCCAGATATTCAGTTCCATATATCATGACTTGAGGAGATTTTTTTGCACCATTGCCCAAAGTTTCTATCAAAACAACATGGCATTGATCCCAGGGGACAGCAGATTGCAAGTGTTGCTGTAGTAAAGCGTTCATGGGAAATGTATTGATTACAGTTAGAAAGTGAATGTGTTTCATTGATTTGACGTTGAAAGCAGTTTAAAGACCACAGAACAATGAAGGCTTAGGTAAACTTGCAGCTGACAAAGATTGTCTAAGTTGTCAATAATTGATGGCTTTGTCCAGGGACTTGATGTGTTTATGATAGGGTGTTGAGAGTCCATTATTTCTGAAATGTCTTTTATTTTGAAGGCATACATTTTGATCTGATCTTTGCTGGGCTCATTCTAGGATAAAATTTCCTCTAGACAAATAGTGAGGTAATTTTAGCCAAATCAGAAATTAGAATTTAAGTAGTAAGTTATAATTTGAAAATGCATTTGAATCAAGTTGACATGTCAAATAATTGCCACCTACCCAACCAAATGCCATCAGATAGTTTTTAATTAATAGCATATCATAAAGAAATACAAATTTGAAAAGAGTTTTATTTCCTACTTTCCCCAAAATGATATTTTAACAGATGCTTCCTGCTTATTTTTGTGCGTGCTATATGTAACTCTCTAATTTAAATAATTATGCTGTTGCATGCACAGCAGGAATGCAAACTGGGGGGATGGATAAATAACTCAATTTTACGACCAGAAATCTGAAGAAGGTGAAGTTTATAAGGTTCTATTTTGACTGACCAAATGATTGATTTGGTTTATCCTTTGGCACGTGACTTAATTTGAGTCATGTAAGAAACTACTGATAGTAGTAGTGATGTATATGTATTACAGCTAGCACATGTAGTAGTGATATTTATGTGTATTTGTTACAGGGAATCTGTGATCACTTCATATGTAACTTTAAATAAGTAAACTCATTTACATTATTCTAAACTTAATTGGAATGTGTGTAGCATGTGGTTAAAATTGACTGTGCTTGTATGAGTTCTGCTTGGTCAGGTTAAAGTTTGCACCTGGTAAAAAACACCATTTTATTGATTATGCTGCCCTTATGTTCAGCATATGGCAGATACATATAATTTATTGGTCACAATAAAAGGATTTATGTGGTGTGATGTATCAATATGTTTTAAGATTCCCAGGGAACCAAATTATTACAGCCAACAAGCCTTCTGACGAGAGACTCCCTTGAATTCAGGCACGCATAATGTACCTTCACAGCAAATACTAGTACCCAAGGCAAATTAACCTCATTCTGCCAATGAAATTCACTCTGTCATAGATTTTCCAACTGCCAAAACATGTACAGTACATGTACATGAGCATTCATATATTTCCTTACAGAAACAGTCAGGTTCCTTTTTTTTCTTTTCATTATGAAATGTTTTTATCACATATATTTAAAGCATGGGGGTTTTTAATTATCATTTGAAATTACATATGTATAATGATTAGGTGTCTTTTTTTCTAGCAATGGTATGATCCCACAGAGTCTATCCTACACAATGAAATATTGTCAGGTATGGGAGATAGATGACTGATAAATAATAGAAATGACTGATAAAAATAGTAATACTTACTTTTTGATGGCTTTTAATATATTAGTTTGAAAGCATACATTACAATGTACACTTATGTAGCAAAAAAAGAAAAGAATCAGAATTTCTAAAATTATGATATATACACTTGTAAATTTCTATTTATTTCCTCTAATAACAACAACAACAATAATAATGATGATAATAATAATATTTATTTATTATTCAGAAATCTTAATGTCTTTGCTGTTTGAGGCCACTGAGATACAGTTTGACCTAAATACTAGGGTGAGTCCTGGAACTTGTTTGGAATGAAGAAAGTGACATAACAAATAAGTGAATAATAAATTCAGAATTAATTATGGAATAATTTCAGTATTGAATTTGGTATTTTTAAATGAATCGTAGATTTTGCATAATAACTAGTTCCATTAAAAGATTTGCCATTGATTTTCAGAATTCCAGTTTCCTTGATGAGACTTGGTATATATCTGTAAGTTGTGATAAGAGAATTTTAGTTATAAATTTGTTTTCTATTTTTGTATTTTGTAAATAATTTCAATTTAATAAATGTACAAAAATTATTTTAATGGTTTGGAGATATTTTTAGGTAAAAGTTTGTCAGCTTATAATCTTAGGCAAAACTCTTTGTAGTTAGTGACAATTGCATAGCAGTCATCTTAGTGACAAGGAAGTCAATAATTATTTGACAAAAACTCATCCTCTGTTTTTCTGCAGTGGAGAAGAGAATATAAATTTGTCCTAATGCGTATTGACGTAACAAAAATGTATCTTCTGTTCTTGCAGCGGTACAGAGACTATGAATTTGTCCCTTGTGATAACCTAGGTGTCCATGTAAAGTGAGTACAGTCAACACTAGTCAGTCAGACCCAACACAACACTACAAATTAATATATCATTTAGTCCAAAAATAAATTCTATAGACTATGATAAAATGATATAAAACAGACACCGAAATTTCCATATGTCCAATCTGACTATTTTCTTTATAAAAGCTTTTTGAAATTATTGTTATGCCAAATCTGTCATTTATTGAAAGCTGACATGCTGAGTCTGTACTGAGCAGATTGGCATAAAAAGGCAACAAGACTGAAGAGCACAGAGTGCTTTATTAGTACAAATATCAGAACAAACATTAATAGCAGTAGAAGATGCTTAAGTAAGTAAATTATTAAAAGTGCAGCTGATGGGAGCAATAGAGAGAGAGAGAGAAGGAGAGAAAAGTGCTTACATTGCTTGATATTTTTTATCTCAGCTACAAACATGTTTTGGAATTAGTTACCTGTTTTACTGTACCATGATAAGTATTACTTTCACTTCAGTTATATCAGTAACAGAGCCTTTGTGATTGCTGTTGATGAGAACAGTGTAGCATCAGAATATGTGAGTATGAAATGCAAATCATGCAGTTGTTAAAACAAATATTTCATGTGTTGGGTGGATCCATTCACTACAATATACAGAACCTTGTGTTTAACAAGTTTGAAAAATGAGCTTATTATTAATACTTTTATTATAATTATTATTTCTGTGTATAGTAAATTTTATGAAACCAAAGTTCCAAATTGTAGCAGCTGCTTCTGTTATTTAAACTTTATTTTAACATTTCAAACCACAAGTATTTGCATTTTGAATACTGTAGTCCTAGATGTTGCATAACATGTGCATAAAGTCACCATGCATCCTTAGTATAATGTTAGGCCACATTCAGAACAAGTTGATCAGCTGACTAAAAGATCTGCCAATCAAATATGGCCGACCCACTTGAAAGCTTGCCTTGTAATCCCCATGGTGAATCTATTCAGTGTCTATAAGGGGATTATGCAGCAAGCTTTCAAGTGGGTAAGCCATATTTGATCTGCAGAACAACTAATTCTGAAGGTGCCCTTAGTTAACACAATATCAACTTTTCAGCATCGAATTCAGCCAGGAGACATACTTGATGAGTTATATGGAGAGGCATTGAAAGGTGTCAAACAGGGAAGAGTAAGTTAATCTAGTTTCACTACTTACTGTTATAATTAATAGTTAGGTATGATTTCAAAGGTATACAATAATATATATAAGGGGACTTCTTTATTCAAAGATTCAAAACAAGTGAGCTGAAGACAGGACATTCATTTAACATGTTTATAAGAATGATCTGCGCCCTGAGTAATTAGTTCTACATGTATAATTGTGTCTGCACAAGTGTCTTCATGTTGTTTCAGATTCCAAGTTTACTCAGGCAGAACAAAGGATGGCCAATCACTTTATCTGTTATCAAGGTAATGATGTGGCTCTGAGGCCTATAACCCAAAATAATTAAACAAGTGAAATAATTTAGACTGAAACATCAACTTCATTTCAGGATAAATCCACAGTAGTCCACTAAAGAAGGAAGTAACTAAACTTTATAACCAAAGATTTCAGTTTTGACATAACATTAAACAGTTAAGTCCACTATGATCAAACATTGCACCTTTTTTATGAAAACTGGTGAAAAACTAATGTTACATGTAGTTTGGAGCTCTTTTGATAAGCAGACCAGATATAAAAAAAAAACAAAAAACTTCAAATGCGTTGCTGCTCACCTCATTGCCAGTGTCACACCCAAAACACAATCACAACTGGCACAATCCTGTCAAAACGATCTTGGGTGTGGCTGTCATGAATAAGATGATACAATGAGTGCTTGAAAGTTCACAGAAGCAGTAATTGCATCGATCATTTATAAGGAAGTTTTGTTGATAAGACTCCAAACTCTTGAAAGCAGTGTAATAAACATGACATATATAAATAACCAGTAACAAATAATTTGAATGAAAAAGATATATCGTATTGATTGGGTCAAAATATTTTTCATTTTTAGTGCAAATATAAAGATGGCCGCCTCTTCCCTCCTATAGCAGAAATGCTGCGATGCATGGATACTGATCTTCCCTCCCTGTCCTCCATCATCAAACATGCACGTGAAAACAAGGACAAGGTGGATTTGAACAAGAAACCTCCTCATGCAGTCCTTCCAGAGGATGGATACAAAGACGTCCCTATACAGACACCAGAAAGCAGGTGCTGAAATGTTTTTATTTGCAGACATATTGTATCTTTTTAAATTTATTTAATCATTTTTTTGTTATTTAGTAATTTACTTTATCAATATACTTTTAATTTTAGTTTTTAAAAGTTTTTAATTGAGAACACTTGAAGTGGGGTTTTGTACCTGTGTCTTAATTATAACAGACTGCCATAACAGGTTTTTTTGCTGTAATAAAGCAAAAGACATAAAAGGATGGGACACTTTGAATGTTAAGAGGATATTTCTTGTTTTTTTATTTATTTTTATTTTATTTTATTTTATTTTATTTTATTTTATTTTTTTATTTTTTTATTTTATTTTTTTTTTTGTGGGAGACTCTGAATGGTAAGAGTTCAAATGTATTTATACAAGCTACTTTTTATGTATTACAGAGCCAGGTACAGAGTGCAATATGTGGGAAAGACTCATGTAGGTCAGGTATGCACTCTTGAATCTAAAAACCTCAGTCACATTCAGTAAAAAATAATCAACATCTTTTCAAGCAGCTGAAGGTTATATATTATACCATTAGGATTAAGATTATTTTCAGGATAATCAGTTATTGAATACATATGTTTATGCATAAATTTGCAATTCATTGAGACAACTATTTATTGATTTAGTTGATTTTTGCTTTTGCATTAATTTTTTTTCATTTATTTACTTTCAGAGATAAGATAATTAATGTTCATCTTATTTTATTGATTGATTGCTGAAAATTTTAATTATTATTGTATTTTTCATATTTCATTATTTGCTGAATGTCTGATGTACAATAACATATTTAATACCTATTTTATCAGGATGGCAGTATGTGCCAGATAGAAAATGCAGTGGCTACTGTACTTAGCAATAATCCTGACCACAGGGTAAGAACTTTAATTATTTATTTATTTATTTATTTGTCATTGTGGCTACTGTATTAATAATCGCTGTGATCAGAATGAGTAAGAGAATTCCTATGTGAGAAAGATTTATGCAATAAATTAATTTTGTTTTGTTAAATAAATTGAATTGAACAAACCAATTATTTTTTCATTCCACACATCATTTCACAGGGTTGTTTAAAATACAGCTAAAATGTTACAGATCAAAGTATTTAGAATACTTCTCTGTGAATGTGTTATTCTTTGAACTTTATAAAAAAAAACATGAAAAAAATTTTTTATTGTTTCATATCACACAGTTTTATCAGGTAATCTTGAATCTTGCACAAGTTGGAGAAAATAATTTTATGTTAAGTTTTCTGTACACTTTTAGGTTTGTGTGCGGTAGTGTTGGAAATTGCTGGTTTATTTTTGCAATTGATTTGTGTCATTAGATCTTTTTATTTGGTGTGGCCACACCCTTATGTGTACCTGTATAAAACACCTCCTATAGGTCTGTCAGGTGTGTGTATGGGTATGGTTACCCCCATGTATTAATTACTAAGTACACAGTACTCAGCACTTTTTGAATTTGTCAGTTTTACATAATATGTAAAAATAGCACAGTTTTTATGCAGTTTCTTCAGTTACTTTGTGTGAATGTGCACAGCTAGTTATTTGAAAACTGTGTTATCGGTAATTATGACATTTTTGTTTGCTTTCATCTTAAGCCATAGATACAGTACTTAGATCTTAATTGCAAGTTGGCATGACAAATGCAATGTTACCAACATTGCTTTTTGTTAACACAAAATACACCACAGTTCAAAGCATTTTACATTGATATATATGAATTAACTTTATTGTTTTCATATTTCATCACAAGAATTAAGATGTGTCTGTTCAGTATTATTTAGAAAATTTTACTGTCTTTGTAAATGCATATTTTCCCAAATTCACCACTAAATCACTCATTCAATTTGTTCAAGTTTGTGAAATAATACAAATCATAGATAAGAAGGATATATTTTACTTAATATATTAGATGATTTTTTTTCTCAACTCAGGATGTTGATGTGGAGCTGGGGGAGACAGAAGTGATCACAACTATTGTGGAAACAAATCAGGTATCCACCAGGTCATGTTGTACTTCTTTTTCATTTCAGATTATTATTTCAACCAAAGTTGGGATTCTTTGAGTTCTTCTTTAAATTTTTGAACAAAAAAAAAATTGATCAAAAATATTGTACATAATAGTGAAGGATATTTTAAAAGTATTCCCTAGTTTCACCATTCTTTTCTTTTAATTCTTTTTGGCCTGATATACATATGCATTTTGAGTTAAAATTTTTTTGACCCCACTTTAAAAAAATCTCTCTTATCAAAACATGTTTAAATCAGTTTTATCACAGCATTCTCACAGGGTTAATGACTCTTTGCCTTTATGTATGTTCTACATGTCATTTTAGGTGTTCTTCTTCTGTTAATAACATGTCAAACAATAGTGTGTATGCATTTTGTTCTGTTTTGTTGGCAACCCCATGTTTGTCCCATTAGTAGCTAGTAGAGTACAACAACTTGCATTAATTTCCACTTCATTTACTTAAGTGCAGTATATCTATATGTTTAAAAGCCTAAGGAGATCTACCCACCCAATATAAGCACTAAATATAGCAAAGAGATATCCATTCACTATAATCATCATCACACTAAGGCATTAGGTATAAGCTGATTGCTAATAACAATATACTGTGTTGTTAGTTCTGTTTTACCAAAACAAGCACATTTTAGGAGTTTCTTATTCAGAGCACAAAAAATTTAATTGATCAAGAAAAAAAGCAAATCTTTTTAATGAGCAGTGTTGTGTTTACATAACTACATGAGTCACTGAAAGCATGTTTGCCTGCATTTTTTGTATCTGTAGAAACAATCTTATTTTTAAATTACTGATTTTTTAGACATCAACATTTATGTTATTTTTGCTTTCTACATAGTGATTTATCATAATATAATGGAACTATAACCACCTACCAATTCTGTTAATACAATGTTTAATTATAAACAGCATTTTATGAATTAAAGTATGATTATGACATTTTACAAGCAAGTTTGAACCCATTACACACTAAAAAAAATAGAACAATATTTTGGTTATCCTTATTATTTCCACTTATATTTTTCAGGAAAAGTTGCGGCATGCATACCCTTTGATCTCATCATGTGGCAGAAGAGAGGACAGTTCTCAATACTTTGGCTATATAGCTGGGTAAGTGGACACTGGGGAAACTGTGGCACCCTGGGTTTACAAGGTTACTGGAAACTTAGTACACCCAGTGAAACACAGGATGATTCACAGAATATGATCAGTATTTACTTTGATTCCGTAGGAATATCATTATGCACAAACAGTAATTGTGATCATAAACTAGGAAAGCTGTGGGGGAGCATACAGCTGTTAGTGAGTGCATGTGCATGGCCCCCCCCCCCCCCCCCACCACACACACACACACACACACACACACACAAAGATCTACCTTTGCTATTTTGCAAGTAGACTGCAACTTTTAATATCACATCAATGCTAGATTTGGAACAACAGAAAGAGGTTTTTGATATATCTTTCTTGTTTTTTTTTCTCATGGAGGTTCACCACTATCAGACATACCAGGAAGGGAGGGTACATATAACCCCAGTAATTCTATATGATGTCATATCACAGTATGTTTACTGTTACTGTTCCTATTATTGTTATTATTGCAATTGCTATATTGTTGATATTGCTGATGTTGCTTTCCCTATTGTTATTATTTCAGAGAGACAACCTGCACAATGTCCAAGGATTTTATCTGCTATGTTTTCAAAGCAAACTGTGATAATGAGGTACAATTACAAACAGTATATTTTGTCTCAGAAAAACATATTTTTTTATAAAGGAATTCCCTCAAAATATTTTGATATTCTTTTGATATTCAATAACAACTTATTGAATGTAAACTTAATTTGTATCATTTATACATGTTTTATGCTAAGTATAAAATAGTAAAAATTTGAAAATTATCTACTTTATAAGTAACACAGCCTTGTGTGCAAAAGTCTGTCAAAAAGTTGAATTGTTTTTATTACATTTTTTTGTTTCAACGTGTGTTGTACATCTTTGTAGGCGAGAATACTCTTATGTGGAATAGGTGAGTAGTGAAAAATAAGATGAGTTTCATGACTCCAGTATTTCTGTGCTGTAACACAGTAAAATAACCCAATATACTAGTATATATGATGGCTCCATGGGGGCTGAGAAATAATTGAGTTGAAGCAAATATATGTGAATGTATTGTTTAATTATTACAATATATCAGTTTGAATGACAATTGATTTCAATATCATTCAAGAAATGTTGTTGTATATTCAGCTTCATATCTGTTTCAACTTGTATAGGGGAGTTCTTTGTATTTTTCAACAGCTCAAGGATTTGGAAGAACACATTGGTTTGTATAACAACTCTGGAAACACTAAAGAGGATACAGTAGTGACATTGCCATATTGGATCTTGTCTCTTTATCCATATGCTCACACCTAGTGGCCAAAGACCCCAATCTCATACAGTTATAATCTTTTGTTTTGTTTTGTGGAAAGTGGAATCAATATGTTTCTATTTTGGCAATGGAAGGGATGTGTTCCCATAGATGCTAGTCTTATAGGTAGAATTCTCAGTTTTTGGAAGTGGACGGAATAGAATGTGTGTTGCCACAGATCTCGCATTCTTAAATATTGACATTTCAGTTTACAGGAAGTGTAAACAATATGTTGCCATGGATACCAGTCTCTTGTAGACTTAGATATGAGTAGACATTTCAGTCCCTAGAAAGTGAAAGTGATATGGCCTGAAACCAACTAAATCTCCACATTTAACATTTGAATAACTTTTTGAAGTTTGTCAACTAGAGTTATGCCAAAGATATTAATTTTGTATTTAACCAGAAAGAAGTGATATATCACAGTCTCTTGGAAAAATTATTAGTTTATATGAGGTGGAAATATCAATAATAGAATTAAGATTATGCCAAAGGTACTTGCAATTAAGCCAAAAGGAAACAAAGTTGTTCAACCTGTTCAACCCATTCATAGATATTGGGACAAAAAATACCAATTTTGGTTATCAAATTAGTGCTCCCATTTTGTTAATTTACTACCACATCAGTAGCATGTTGCTTCATAACTATAGCACATGTATTATGCATTTTTTATTATATATAAAACACCAGTAAGATGTTAACCATTAAAATGTGTATCACATGAAAATCTGTTTACATTGTGAAGCACTTATACCAGTTACTGTACTACTAGTTGTTCTGTCTTGCACATATATAGTATTAAATACAACACAATGCATTCCAATGTATTATCAGATACATCAAATCTGTATTTGTGTCTATGAAGGTTATTAGACACTCAGCAAAGATACTGTTCACACTTTTTCTACTCCCTCTGGACTAGAAATATATTAAAACATATGTGTATTTCTAAAAAACAGGTATATATATATCCATTGACTAAAATGAGACATGTACATAACCATTTGCCACCCATCCAATACAAAAAAGTATTCCTTTCTTTATTTTACTATCATTATCATGCTAAAATATAGAAAAATTACTTAGTATATATTCAAGCCAGTCACTGTAGTTTTTCATCTTACCTGTGTCATATAGAAACTGTCAGTGCATTTTTGTGAGAGTGTCCTATAGAATTATCTTAATTATATGGGACTATTATTTCTCTATGCTCCAGTGTTTAATCAACCAAACATTGTTTTATTCTATATGAGTGCAATACAACCTAGTTTACTGTACTGGTATAGTGCAATAGAGAATGATATTTTTCAAGTCTTTTCAGTTTGGATGGATTTGTCCTTTCAGAACAAACATTAGAGCAGTTCCTAAGAAATTTTTTAGTTGGGGTTTTCAGTCCGTGAGCTAAATTGTCTGAAAATTTCTTAATTCTATTTGCTCTGTGTTATTCAATGTACTGTATGTGAAAATTGTGTATTCTTATAGAATTTTGTTGACTAGGGAGTGTCGTGTCTGTGTTTGCTATTGGAAGGTGTACTTATGTATTATTTATTACAAGTTATGGAGCAATTATTTTGAAAATTGTTTAAATCTACCTCACCTCACATTGTAGATGCTGTCATTTATGCAGTTACACTGTACATGTGTTGCACATTGATTTGCACTGTATTATGTATAACATTAAACTCTCTCTGGTCATCCTGATTCAGATTTTGCTGATAGTTGCAACTTTTTAATAGCAACACTTATCAGTTTATTTCAGCAGAAAAGGGTGTGCCATAGTTCGTTTCTGTTCATTTTGTTGACATACTGTATTGTTAATTATCCTGTAAATGCTAATTTACTGTTATACTTTTTATGTTATTGAATTTATATTAAATATAAAGTTGCTATTATTCAGTTGGAAACATGCAGGTGCCATGTGCAATACTATTTATATAAAGTGTGGAGATAATTGAGAAATCTGTCTTAAGTCACCTCTCTGCACACTGACTATACAGATGTACTAGTTCTTGTTTTGAAATTCTCAAAGTTTGAAATAATTCCGATTTATCTATTTTTTAAATTGTTTGCACATTTTTGTATGATTTTGTTTATTTTGAAAAGATATATTTATGGAAAAATAGAAAAAAGTGCAATACATGTATATGTTGATGAAAGGGGACATGGTGTTTTGTATTGTAGTTTTTGTAGAAGAAAAATAAATGAATTGAATTTGAAAAATTTCGTTTAAGGACAAGTTTTTCAAATTATCGTTGCATATGCTGGTGTATTGTAAAGAGCTAAGCGCGAATTTATTTTTAACTCGAACTTAAGGAGTTGAGAAAAAAATTAAAGATTCCCAATTTACTGAATCTCCTTCCGCCGCTTCCTTTATTTTTCATTATCTCATAAAATTCTTCATTTTCCGTAGTCGCAGACGCCCCTTGTTTTGAAACCATGGGTATTATATGGGCGTCTCTTCGAGGTGGGTGTCAAAATGAACATTAACATTTAATAACGAAATTGAGATGAAAATGTTATCGTTTCACCTTCGGTATCTTGCTGTCTCTTGCATTGTTCTTGGATTTTGGACGGGATTAGGGCAGCCCGAGATTAGGAGTTTTCAAGAAAATGAGCGTCACGCGCGACGTCAAAGAAGACAGTGAAATGATGGATATGTTTTCCCACAAGCTAATCAGACGTGCTGAGCGTTTGTGCAAACATGCGCGGACTCAAGTTTGTTGAGTGGACAGTTTGTGAGACGAGCTAATTATCATTCTTCGCTACCACCAGACCACCAGGCCTCTTTTGGGTGTTGAGTGCAGAAGTCACAGATATATGTGATAGGATTCACAATGAGGTTTCTGTTCGGTGAGGGAACCAGTAAATCGTGACTTTGGAGGTTAAAAAATAATTCATGAAACTTTACCCTCCGTTTTGGACAAACTAACAAAAGCGTTGTCCCTTCATCAGACTGATCAAACGTATTAATCTGCAATGCCTATATTGATAATGTTTTGTTTAGGCTGTCCCAGTCAGAGCAATAGTCCATAATTGAGTGTTCTGCAAACTTGGAAATAGAACAAAATCTGTTTGTATTATATCGTTTCTCTTTCCCCGACTGGTACTAAGAAGATCATGAGATCGTAATATCAACTGTAGGGGCAGTAATATGAATACTTGTTGACACCTCCTAAAACACCAAGCTATCGGATTAGTTTTTCATAACCCAGGGTTCTAGTAGAGCTAAATTTGACTCACCATCTATTCTATAAATTACCCTATATTAATATACATTATCCTATAATAATACACATTTTGCCTTATTTCAAGTGTGTGCACAGTATAAAGCACACAGACCTTCAAAAACTTCTGATTTTCAGTGGACTCCTGTATTAAACCTTGACCAACGCCTACAATGTAGACCTTAAAGTCATTTTCTTATGTAAAAATTAAGCTCGAAGCGAGATTCTGATAAATTTTGAGCTTGCTTGGAGACCAAGATAATGAAGTCAAAACTGGCAAGCTGTTATTTTTCTAATGGTAAGTGGTTTCTTTAGCATATCAACCAGAGTGGAACCTAAACAAGGGAAGTTTTAACATCGCCATGGGTTCGTGAATTTGATATAGTGGATACCGCAATTTTGATTTCAATTAAATGCAACGGTTTCTGAATCTTAAAATTAAGAATTAATTGTAAAATGACAAATAAGTAAATGTCTTATGGTGTTAACTTTTGTGCTTTGCACCCAGGGCACTTGGGGGAATATTTATATGAATTTATGAAGACCTAGATATGCAGATGCAAAGTGGCTATTTTCATAGCAAGTAAATATTCAGGGCTTATCTCTGGCGTTGCATCCTAATTGCCTTATCAGCGAGCAAATCCTTCTATTTTTTCTCATCTTACTATCCAAGTGCTAGCTCAAACAAAGTATATTTGAAAAAAATTAGCTGTGAAGATTTCACCTCAGCATTTCCAAATCTCTTCCAGATCCGTCACGTAGACACAAAACATGTTTATAATTAAATCAAAATCTGCTGTAAACCCTAGGCTAACTCAGCAATCGATAAATTCTACTGATAAGGCTGATTTATACCTCCAATAACGGCGCTGATATTATAAAACAAAACTCGAGAGAATATCATTATTACTGCGAGACTTGTTCAACACAAGTGGGGTTTTATTTTCTCTTCTTGGAGATATGTTGAGCACTTTTAACACAGTTTTGTAGCTCGGATAAAAGAAAGGAAGCGCGTTTATTAGGCCTAAAGGTTAGAAGTTCTAAGTTCTCAAAAAGCCATAGTCTGACTATGACGTACATTTTTCTCAATGATATTTTATAAAAAGAGGTCTGATAACGTTCTGTTTTCTTCTATGGGCATAACGAAGATTACCATGCAGCAGGCACAGCAACCACCTGCTGATGAAGGAACACTATTTATATTGAGACCAAAAACTATTGGAGGCAAGCCAGCCATATTACCTCAAAAGAAAATCATATGTAGAAGACATAGATGCCGTAAAAACGACACATCATTGAACGGGAACCCATTTTTAGAAAAGGATAACGTGGAATCCATGCAGAGCAACCAGAAGGAAGCAGATGCTGCTCATTCCAAAAACGGAGAAGCAAAAAACCTCGATGAAACGTTTACCTCCGTTGAGGAAAATTTGACCAATGGGCAACCTGTGGGTGATAAACGTGCCAATATTGCTAATATCCAAGACAATCTTGATAACCTCCCATGTTCCATCGATCAGGCTGTTATAGATAGATCCCACAATTCACAACCGACTACCAGAAAGCTTGATAGAGGAGATAGCCTTGAGTATACCTCTGACGAAGAATCGGACATATCTAGTGATATTTTTGATGATATTTCAGGTAGGCAAACTACCAAGGCGATTTGAATCCTCTTTAAACGGTAATTGAAAATAGAACATTATTTATTTATTTATGTATTTATTATTATTATTATTTTGTAATTAAAAGAACGCTTTAGTCATGAAATGATGTGAGGCATAGTAAGATGATGCTAAGATAAAGCCACGTAAATGAAAAAAAAACTCTAAATTCACTGATAAAATTGATCTTACATAATCATTTTCATTTAGCGTATGATTCCCCACTTCCTTCGCACACGCCGCTGGCGGGAGAGACGCTGAACCAGAGAACGTACCTTGCGGCATGTCAGCGCGAGCATGTAACCCCGTCCACCCTCGTCTACCGCCGCCTGACAACAACCACCCTCGACCTCAGCCACCATCCTCTGGGACCTCAGGGAGCCAAGGCCCTGGCCATTGCCTTAGTAGTGAGTACCCTCAGGAACGGTTCACAACGAAATTATTATTATTATTATCATTATTATTATGATTATGATTATCATTATTATTATTATCTGTCCAGAGTTCGATGAACTATTCAGACTTAAGTCCGTTCTTAGGATTGTCTTCTAAAATCCGTGTTATAATTGTTATTAATTCAAAAATTCAAAATTGATTTATAAAAAACGATATTACTTTGTACTTTCCATGTTCACTACATTATTTTAATAATCCTAATAGTAATATTGTTCATAAGTTTCATAAATATAATGACACCCATTTTTCCGCTCACGTTAGAATAATATTCACGTAACGGACCTCCGGCTCCGAGACGTAGGACTCGGACGTATTGGAGCGTTGTACATAACTGAGATGCTGCAGGAAAACTTATTTATCACTACTCTGGTGCGTACATTGTATGTTGTTTTAGCAAATAATGAGGTTCTTAACCAAGCATTTATCGTGTCCAAGCGCTTACGCGTGCCTGTATCACTTGGTTAACCTAAAGGTTTCAGTGTTTTTACGTACTTTTTTTATGTGTCTGTTAAATTGACGAGTGTGTGAGTGCGTGCGTGTCCAAGTGTGTGTGTGCGTGCGTGATTACGTGTGTGTACTAGTTCTATACGTGCAACTGGCTGCTTGTAGTTCCCGGTGTGAATGTTTATAGGTCAAAAATGTATATTACTAATACTGGAACCTATATAAATTCTGTTTGTAACTCCTATTTAAAAGGCAAAACGAAACCACATTTTCGGTTTCAGTAAATCTGATTTAAATTGTTTTTTATCATTCACCAATCTTATATTTTAATCTATCTACATGTAGTAAATGTCAACCTTATTCATATATTATGGAATTCGCTATAAAAGAAACCATTTATCACTACCTTTGTTATAAAAGAATTTTTGTACTAGAAATCTGTGCCTATAAAAATTTTGCCTGATGGATATCCTTTCTGAACACAGAATCTCGCTGAAAATGATATTGGTTCTGAGGCGACTGACGCCCTGTGCAATGTACTTCAAAATAACAAGTTAATAAGGACGCTTGATCTCTCAGGTATGTTGAAAACGAATCTTTGGGGTTTTCTCCGAATTTGACTTTAGAATTACTTTCTCAGGCGCTCGGTTTCAGTCTTTGCGTAAATTTATGAACATTAAAAGGGAGCGGTTTGTTGCCTACCCAGTTGCATATAATTTATAACTGTTGGAGTGCTATTTCAGTTTTTTCAAACTCTCAAGTCTCAAACGTAATGCTGAAATACTGTCGGGACTCTTCAAAAGAAAATATTAATAGATAATAAGACGAATAATTGCCATTATTTTTATTTGTCTGCTTCATTAGATGTAAAATTATTCCAGGGAATTTTCTAACAGACGTCAGTGCAGAGCGCCTTTGCGTTATGTTACACACGAACGAGACGGTGCGAGACCTGCGTGTAAGGCGTAACTGTTTCTGTGAGAAAGGCGGCATTGCGTTTGGTAAAGTTTTAGGTAATAATCACTACATTTTGTCATATGGGATGTCATGTGAAAGCATTTTTTATACAAGTTATACTGCTTCTTTTCGTTATGAATTCCACAGTAAAGAAATCCTTATTATCCGTCTCTATCTCACTCAATGTCCATGTATTTTACGTATTTTGCGAGTTCGTTTATTCGCCCAACTTATTCCACATCTCTCACTGTAATTAATACCGCAATGTTAATTTTTTGGTCTATTTTTAAATAAAGTAAAAACTCTATCCGTTCTCTCTTAGGCCTGCTTTACGCTGATCATGAGTATCTCGCTTAGGACTCAAGAACAGCTATAGCACTATGCCATTGATAGCTTCTGTTAGCAGTCTTCATAACTACCACAATGAGATGAAATCATTTTCTTCTTTTTTCAGTGGACAATGCGAGTCTTGTATGTTTAGATCTCAGTTGGAATCATATCAGAAGAAAGGGCGCGATAGCAATCTGTAAAGGTATTCAGGTAAATCATTGAACTTAAATTATGTTTTTAAACCCTGAGTAAATTCTTTTCCTTGATTTTGATTGTGTGTCGTTATTTATGTCACAGTGTTGACAGTAGTTGTTATGTCATACCTTCATGGCAATAAGTTTGAAAGTGAGAGCTATTTTCAGTTGATTTAATTATTATTTATTATTACACAATCTGGCAACCCATGGGGAGTTTGATGAATGTATAATGACACAGTCAGATAAAATTATAATTGATAAAAATAAGAATATTGATAGCTGTAAAACAAAAACGAGATAAAATTCCATTTATTGATTGAAACCAGTTAAACAACCAAACTAATATGCTGCACTTGTTATATAATCAGCCATTGAGCGTGAAGTTCAGATTTTCCGTCTTTTGAATGTCTCAGCTATCCGTAGTGTACATTTAACATTTTCTCTTGTGCAGTCTAGTGCACTTTATGTGGGTTCTTTCTCTCCTAAAATTCCAGATATAGCCAAGAAACTGAATGACTGCATTGGACAAAATATAGTAGAATTATTCTATCTCTCCTGTAGGCAAATTAGAATATGCACAGCAATATTTAGGTAAAGTTTACTCTGATAGAGTAAGACCAGCGTACTGGTATATATGTCCGCTGCTTTAGAAATCATAAAAATACATTTGAAAATTAAGATAAGAATTTGCGTAAACCCTGAAAAATATGTCTTCGTGCCGTTTACAGGGGAACTCCACCCTTCGTAAGCTGAATCTGGCGTGGAACGGTCTAGAGTTAGACGGGTGCCGCGCCCTGGCCTTGTCTCTCTGCCAGAACGCCGCCCTGCTCGAGCTGGACATCCGGGCCAACAGAATCTCACTGGAGGCGCTCAGGGGCCTGCTGAAAGGAATCGCGAAGAACGAGACGCTCAAGGTTTTGAAAGTAGGTCTATAATTTCCATTCCCTACACTCCTTTTACTCGAAACTATCCTTCAACATGGGCACGTTAAATGTGGAGGTTGGTTTCAAGTAATCTCTGAAACTCAGGGTGACTGCTTAACAGATTTGACAAAGATTTTACCTATGGACATTGGATCACTTTTAAATTAAGTTTTACGTAATTAAATAACAATGTAAAGCGGATTGTTGAAACAGTTGTTTTAAAAATAACCCAGGTTAGGTGAATATTATAAAGAGAGGAATATTTTTCAGATTGGTGTGAACCCGCTGACAACAGATGGAGCCACTGAGATATTGCGGGAACTGATGAGAGTGGGCACGAGTGGACTACGTCACCTTGATCTCACGGTAACAAAACACAACCACAACAGCAATTTTGACAATGATTATACCGGTATTTACATTCTCATGTTGTAGAAGTCATTTTCCCGAAGGACTGTGTGAGTGTGCATGTTTGGAGAGAGAGAGAGAGAGAGAGAGATCCTCGACTTTTCAAAAAAGAGTGGGGTTGAAAATAGATTGGGATATTTAGTTTCTTTGTGAATTTTGTACACTCTCAGTTTCTAAGAGGCCAAAATTACAGTTTGTATATCCTTAATAAACGAAAGTAAATTTTCAGAACTTAAGGGTCAATATACGATACCGTTGTAATTGACTACGTCAAAATTCTACATTAATTTTTCACAACAAACGTATATACAACAAATGCTGATTATTTTAGAAATCTTTCACTCAGAAAACATTTCTTGTGTGTTATTTTTCGTAAGTCAGGTTCTGAGTTTTCCTCTTTTTACAGGATGTCTCTGTGGACGAAGAATTCGTTCTTCTGCTGCAGGAATTGCGAAACATTCGACCGCTTCATATCCAACATGGCGTCATGTTACGTCACGACGCGCTGGAGAAAGTCGAGGTTGATGACGTCGTTGACAGTGAGAATCCTGTCAGCATTCTCTTTGAGTACATGCGACAGGAAAATATGAGATTAATCGATTTGTTTCATGTCTTTGACAGAACAAACAGTGATAATATCACCAGAGCGGAGTTCAGGGATGGATTCACGGTGAGGGTTTAGTGCTTGTAACTATTAAAAAAAAAACAGATAAAGATCGTGTACTAGCTGCCTTTCCCCCTTTTCCTCTATTCTGAGCACACGCACACGCACGCATACACACGCATGCACACACGCGGGCACACACAATGACACACATATTACAGCAACAACATTACACGCACACAAGTCTGTACATATTAGAAAATAAATTCAAGGTAGACTGAATCTATGAAGTATAGAAAAGTACAGGAGTGACCAACTGCCTTCTTGGTTGATAATTAAGACGGCATCAGCTTTGAATTAAAAAAAAAAATAGAAATGTCAGTTAACTAAAGCAAATGCTCCCGCAAAGAGACGCTCTGAATGTTAGTGAACCAAAAACGCCTGACCCCGCAATAACCCCTAAACAAACCAGAGCACTCTTTGCCCATCCAGTTAATTTAAATACGCAAATTAAATTACTGCTTCTTTTTCAATCTCTCTCTCTCTCTCTCTCTCTCTCTCTCTCTCTCTCTCTCTCTCTCCTATTTGTATTTAAGAATTATTATTCGCATTAAATCTATTGCTAATTTGAATGGTTTTTTTTCAGAACATTAACATAACACTAAGTAGCCGAGCACTTGACGTGATGATGAAGCAACTTGATAAGAACGGGGATGGTGTTGTGAGTTTTGAGTACGTATTAAAGCATCTTCTAATACACCGACACGTATCCAGCCTGTGTCTCTTTATATTAAGTTACGAATAAAAATCTAGTCTTGCATGCCAGAGGAACTTCCTACACCTATTTCTCATCACTGCAAATTTTAATGCCCATTTTGATTTCTTTATCTCTGTCCATCATTTATTTATTTATTTTGTCTGTGGTCTATAATAATTTTAAAGATACTTTTGAAAGCACTTAAAACATTTTGAATTCATTTTACGTCATTTTATGACAAAAACGTGGATAATGAATTAATTTAACATTAGAGCTTCCTTGTTAACAAAATTTTTAATAGGCCTACTTTTTCAGAGAATTCATGCGAGCTCATCGTGATTATAGTCGGAAGTTACGGAGAATTCAACAAAGATCTCGGACTCCGGAGAGCGCAGCGGATCAACCCCCGGATCAAATTACGCTATTGCGGGAAAAAATCAAGCGCTTGACTGCAAGGAAAGGGTCGATTGGCGGTCGTGGCAATGAGGAGGGACAAAAGACTCTACCTGGGGGACGGAGTTTTAAACTGCGGCAAAAAATACAAGAGATAGTTGCAAAGAGAGGGTCGTTGACAGCTGTCAGTAGTAACAGCAGCACCCAAGCACAGTAATGCATTTGTTAAACACGTGCATTAACTTTTTCTTTCCCTTTCTCTTTTCCTTTGACCCCCCCCCCCTTTGTTTTTTCTTTATTTCCCTCCTTTTTCTATCTTGCGTTCTATTTATCTATCTATCTAATTGTATTTCTGTTCGGTGTTTACTTCAGCCTTTTTTTCTTTTGGTTTTTTTTTCTCAATTCCAGGCTGTATACCTTACACATTTTTTCGTGTGATTATTGAAACGAATCGAAGATGCCTGACTCTGGGATCACTCTGGATCAAACAATCTGCCATTCCGAGGTTTTTCTCCCCATCTCTGTTGCCATGGTAACACATCGTCTCTTTTGAACTGTTACTCAACAAGGTTACCGTCTCGGGCTCCAGTTCACGTGAAGAGCACAAAGTGGACATTAAACCGAGCCGGAAATGGACAACGAGTTTTGAGCCAAACTCCTGCGGGTCACTGAGAAACAAATTTTAATGAAAAAAGTTTTCTGTGCAGAGATCCCTTGATTATGTCACAGGCCTCTCGTGTTTATAATCAGTTACCGTGATGAAAACAATAGTTTTGTCAACAGCAACTTGTGACCCTGGAAGCGAATAAAGATTTTCTATTTTGGTGTTGCTCAATCGGTGTTTTGGGTAGTTTGGATTTCGTTCAAGAATGTGTTGGTTTATAAGAGTTTTTTTCTTTCCATTTTTTCCAAGCAGATCATGGAAAGTACATGTTAAAACTTTTGCGAAGTCTGTTGATCAACTGAAAGCCATACTTGGTTTGTTCTGACTATACTATTATACAGAATAGCGAAAATTGGTATGATTGCACATAACCTTCTCTTCATTTTCATTTTATATTTTCCTGTTTGAAAAAAAAGAGTAAATTCAGAAAGTAATGATACAGGTTAAGGATGACGGTGAGCTCTTCTTTTTTTTGCTTGATCTGGTGCTCTAATGCGACTAATTAAGGAACTGATGGTATTTACGACAAAATACTTGATATATCTGGTATTTCAGTGAAAATTTGCAACGTGCGGTCATTTTAGATATCAGACGCTCAAAAATGAATCGAAAGACGCAGAGGCAAAAGTTAAGTTACACCTTCACTGATCAAACTTTCACCAGTCACAATTAGTTAGTAACACTACCGATAACACGATGACCAAGTTCTGGAGTATCGAATTGATTAAAAGCCACGTGAGCATGTAGGTGACCGGCCAGTGACCGGCATTATGTAACCACCTCTGGTAGACCAGACAGAAAAAAAACTTTTGCCTCAGTGATAAAATAAGAGACGGCGCCAATTAAGTATACGTAGCACTCACTTTCTTTCTTTTACCAAAACTAATGAAAAACTTAATTTCATCTCACACGATCCCTCAAAAACTTTCTACAAAATGGGGGATAGCTGAAAGCAATGCTTACAGTAATCAAAAATAATAGAAATATACGAAAGTCTGGGTGTCTATGGTTGACTCTCTTTTGTTTGGGGATAAGGGTAAAAAGTCCAAATTAAAACCTACAGGTCATCAAAATTTAAATACAATGAATGACAGCCTTGACCACTCACTCTTTCCGTGGGCTGGAATTGCTCGTTCGTTAATTGACCCAGTTAAAGGAAAAAACAGCGCCCTGGCCATTGGTCAGTTTGCCAATATAAATAGATCGTCTGCCAGGGATTGGAAGCAGATCTTGCGTAGAAAGAGGTCACTTACACTTCAACCAGTTGACCAGACAGGTTTGTTCAATTTTTATAATTATATTTTTTAACATTTGTATCTTTACTTTACAGATTTTTGAAAGCATAATCTTAATTAACTCTTTTTACACTTTTTTAATCGATTCAGTAGGTTAATGTTTAGTCATTTTCTTTTTCAGACATCATTCGGCAACAAAATGAATCTTAGCGTCAGTTTTTCTGTGTCAGTGGTTTGCGTCGTCTTGGCGTAAGTAGCCGAATATCTTTAACAAATATTTTGTCTACAACGATATCTTGTTTACAGAAAATAAATGAAATGCGTCCAATTTTCCAAAACTGCATGAAATCAGTTCGTTTTCACGTAGGCCTACAAATGTTGCATACAGCCAACCTCAGTATTTGTTGACACCAGTGTGTGTTGAATTATTATCATTATGATTATTTTTACCCCCGCCAAGGAGGTTATATGTTGGTTTTGTTTGTCAGTCTGTTTGTCTGTCGTCACTTAGCAAGATTATGCAAAAAGTTTTGATGAAATTTTCAAGATAAGTCGGAAATGGTCTCACTTTTATGGTGATCCATTAATTGATCAATAAGTAATGATGAGATCGGAGCTGTCTTGTCTGAGGTCTTCATTCTCTGAGCGATTTTCTACTGAATGATATTGTTATCGTTAGCATGTTTTAGACAAAATTTAGAATAATTCAAAAACACTTAATACTACTGCCAAACGAATAAGTGTAGCTTCACTTTTCCAGCGTAATTGAAGCCGGGAGCCTCTTGGGTAAGGAGAGAAGGCTTTTTGACTCACAGGCCGAAGACTATGCGTTCGGAGAGCGTGCGGTGGGTGCTCTCCTGCGATACTGACGCTCTCACATTTTTCTTTGTTATTTATTCATTTATTTATTTATCATTGTTGATTCATTAGTCTATGTATGATAAAGAAACATTATCGTAGAAAAAAAGTCAAGATATTCAAGTGACAAATATATTTAACCTCATCAAATGCGTTATTTATTCGTCAGTTGAATAATCAGTTTATTGATTCGTTTGTTAAAGTTAAATTACAGATCAGACAAACTCAAGTTATTAAATTAGAAAATAAATTGAGGAAAAAAATCATTTCATGACTTTTAACAATTTAGGGGGGAGTTTTAACAATTACTGACACACTTTATTACTTTACATTGTTTACTAACTTGTGATGAAAAGAAGGAATCAACATGTGACGATATTTATTGTGGAATATCAAAGAGTTATATAAGATTGGCTAATGTATGCTTGTATGTACATGCAGTAACGTGTGAGGTTTGTTTTATTTCGTTAGCCCGGTGCAGCAATGCAAAAGCGCAGTGTCCGATGCCCTCGTCTCCGCGGTCCGCGCAAGTTCATCGACAGCATGTTCTTGGTTGCTGATAGAGACCAGGACGGCTATCTAGATGACGCCGAGTACGACAACCTCTTCGACGAGTTTGATAATGATCGTGAGTTTACCTGATGACTAATCTAATACTTGTAAATGTTTTCTAGTGTGAAACAAATGCCTGATGCACTTACCCATTAGGTAGAGCTCAGAACTAACAAAAACTTGTCCTTTGTATTCCTGGTCAAACGTTTTTGAGAAGCCTTCTGTCGAAACTTATCAGGTTTCCTATAGAAGATGACCAAAACTTCCCACTTTTATAGTTTCAATATAGATCAAGAGAAGTGCTTTGGCAAATCTAGTAAAGAACTTCATTAGCTGTGTTATACTTGCAGGCATGTAAATAATTAAAAAAAAAAAAAAACGGCAGTCCAGACGTTTTTTGCACTCAAACATTTTGGTGTCTCTCAAAGCACCTTTTTTTTACAGGGAAGGGACTTCAGGTTTAAATTATCTCTCAATCTGATTTTAGTGCCTAACGTTCTCCTATTTTTACGCTGATATTGCATTTAACACTTTTTACAGACAACTCTGACGTCACTCTGGACGAGTACGTTGACCGCCTGGTTGATGTCCACCACGGTCAGCGTTCCAAAGCTGCCCTCTTGTTCCGCATGGGCGACTTCAACCAGAACCAGAGGCTGGACCTGGAGGACAAGCGTGTGGTCAAGCAGCGGCTTGATGAAAATGGTCAGTAATTTGCGTTTATGAAGATCGGTGGACCTCCGCATAATATGACATACTATAGCTCTATATGATATTTCTGGACTAAGAATTTCTGTCAATATATGACCACAAAGGCTATGATGCCACTGGGTCACCGCCAATAGAACTTAGCTAGTTATTGGTGGTCTACCTATTGGTTCGCCTGAGCATTGACAAAATTAATTTATACTTCGTGTCTCATAAGACCATCTCTTTATGCGCTATTTGATAAATCTTCATTTCATTTGTGTCTTTGATTTAATACATCAGTGAATTAATTCATTAATATATGTGCACCAATTGATTAATCAACTTATTCATCAATCAGTCTTTAATTTCCTTGAATATTTGGTTTTTATGGTTTTACCACATTGGCAGATATAATTATTTTTAATTTCATTTTGAGGGTTTTTTACTTACTTTCAAACTCTTTCAAAGTCTTGTTTCAGGATTAAACGTTGAGTTATTTTTATGTGATGAAGTAAATGTGAATATTAAGACAAATACTGACATGCGTCAAACAACTGTTATGGAATTCTATTTTCATAATAACTGTGTCATACGTACGTAGCAAGCGACTTCATAATTTTTATTTTTATAAACGTTTTTGGGCTTTATATATATATATATATATATATATATATATATATATATATATATATATATACCGTTTTCACATCTGGGGAATTTCTTTCGTTTTAGGTGACGGATTAATTCACCAGTGTGAATTCCGTAAGATCTGGATGCAGGTGGGTGGATTTTCACCACCGATAATTTCATTGAAAATTTCATTTGCATTTCATAAATATGCTTAGTCAAAAAGATTTGTCAGTTCATTTTGCCTTATGTTGTCTTTCAACAATCGCTTTATATACTGAATCTGGCGAGAAGAGATGTGCTCTGTACTATGTAGGGGAGACAGGGGCTAGTTGGACCCCGGGGTAAGTTGCCCCCTCCCCCCCGCCCCTTCAAGTCTCTTTAGGCCTAATACAGTTAGTTTAAGACGCTAAATTATTTCATTTGGACTCACTGCCGACGCTTTTTTAGCACTATTGGATACGGTCGCTTCGCAAAACGATGTGAACAATTCTTTCACTCCATAGTTATTTTGTCGTAAATTGATGGGGGGGGGGGGGTAACTTACCCCGGGGTCCAACTAGCCCCAGTCTCCCCCAGTACATGCCTACACATGTGTTTTATTTACATTACAGTTAGTAAGCTTTGAAAATAAAGTTAATTGTGCGTTTTTTATCTTAGCTGAATGCCAGTTTAATTCTTTATGATATTCTTCATTATAGAATTGTGAGATAACTTTTGTAAGAGGATCACATGTATATTTTCAGATTGCGGATCGTGCCGGAATTGCCCGAATGTAAAAACAGGTCCGTGCAACAATCGTGGACGGAGACCAGTCATTCGGTACATAATGCACATGGATATCTGGGTTATATATAACGGATATCTTAATTACACATGTGGATATCTAAATTTTATCCATATCTGCTGCGGCACCAGATCGGGGTCAATGATTTTGCTCAGTTTACAGCGAATAACAGCATTTTCTCAATAGTTAAATTTTCTTTATATAAGAACTTTCTGGAACATTCGTTTGATTTGGCTTTGGCATCGGTCAACAGTAAATAAAGACCAGAGATGTAACTGAAAAAATGAAAATAGACATTGTCTTAACTCTAAAACTGTAACCAAATGTTTTTTACTCGTGTTTATTCAAATTAGTTTGATGCGGAAGTTGACAAAGTGATTAGATGCAAACCGAGACTTGAGACATCGAATGTGAAAATATGTAAATAAAATGATTTCCAAGCGATCACACTACTTTTTTTAGTTCTCTCTCGTAAGACTGTTTATATTTGTGCCCAGATCGGACAAAAAACACATGTCCAGTAGTGTGATAAATATTAACTTTATGTAGTGAGAAAACATGTTGCGTAAAACTACAAATGACATTGGAACTTCAAAATCTTGTATCTGTCTTAAAACAATAAGTTTGCACATTTATTTAATTTGTCTTCAAGCAAAAATTCTTTCCGGGTGCAATGTAAAAGCAACCGAGACATAGGGAAAAATACCGTTGAGAACAAAACTTTTAGTCAGCGACTGACAATGTTACATATGCTGTTCTATTTATTTATTTTTTTCGGAGCTGGGACATCATCTATATCAGTTTGAATATCCAAGAAGTATAATATATATGTAAAACAAGCAAAACACAGAGATACGAGATAATACTCAGCTTGGTTAGCTAGGGAACCTGCTCTTGGCTATAGATTAACTATGCTGTATTGCAGATCACGAAAATGTTTCTCATAGTTTAGGGGTACAGATTTACCAAAGGATTGGATTGTGAAAGTGAAAAGTGACAGAATATATAGATGATATGACTTTTTTAATTGAGAAGAAAATAATAATTACGTGTGTTTCTGTTTGATTTTTCAAGAAAGCATTCAAAAAACCAGCTATACACCGAATGGTCTATTCTGACCAGTTTGTAGGTCATTTGTTCATCTGATATTTTTAAAAGTTGTGACCCTAACGCGTGGCATTCTTAGGTGTTTTGCATACTTAGCTGTTTTAAAATTTAAACCTTTGATTCCGATTTGATTGATTATAAGACGTATTCACCACTATAACTACAAGAGAAGGAACCGATACAAATTCAGCACGATGTTGCGCCTTTTTTTAAATCTTGTAAGTGTTCCGAATCCATTACCCAACGTTGTCGCGGTGGTACAACACACATGGCACATACCATATGCCCTCAGCAAACTAGTTGGAGACCAAAGTTTTAGTAAACTCAGTTCATGTTTATGTAACCATAATTGTTACAAAACCTGTGACCTTAGGAAACATGGTTATAAAACATGTTTTAAAAAACATGGCTATAAAACGTGATATGAAATCACCACCGCAGCTATTAGCTGGCGTTTAAGGCGACTGCAAAGAACTCGATTTTCATTCGCGAAAATTTGACCAGACAGGCTTTTGCAGACTTTAACTGAAGATTCTACCATCAACCAGGTTCTATATTGAATTGGTAGGTATTAAGAAAAACTTAATTCAGATTGCATTGACTCTTTCTACTAGGTTAAAAAAATTATAGCAGTTCACAATTATTATTTTTTCCGTCTTAACCACCGAGCACAGTGGCAAAGACACTGCTGAAACTTTTGCACAATAATCTATCACCCTTTAGTTATTTTTATTCCAATTATATAATTCTATATCATTAAATCTTATTCTCCTTGTAATTTTATAAAGTGGCAAAGTTAATCATCAGCTGCAAAGGCTGTCTGTAAATATTATATATTTTTCGTAATTTCCGGGCATTTTATGATTTTTACACTGCGATTGCTTCAGGTGCCTTAAATTAAAGTTAGTTTATATAATTATTTTATTGTCTATTTCCTCTAGTTACTTCAAGGACAAAATGAATTTTAGCCTTTCATTCCTTGCAGTTGTTGCATTTGGACTGTTTGCGTAAGTTGTACTATTTTTTCTCTTTAACTAATTTGTTCATATTACGTATTGTTTTCAACTGGCATAGTCACGTCAATTAAATCTCAGTTGATTTTCTGTAGCATAATGTAAAATATTCTATAATAAGCAAGTTTTCTAATGTGAAACACATGGCTTACACACACGTTCACGCACCTGCACACTCACTTAACATTTGCTTTGAAATTCAAATTGCAATATGTGCTCTTAAAGGATTGTTGCGTATAAAACTTCACCTTTTGTGTTGATTTGCTGCAGTGCCCAGTGACTAGCAATTTGTTACCAAGATACAACAGTTCCTCATACTGTAGATAGGGTTTTTACCAGCAATATAGAAAATATAGAAAAAGTCATAAGTTTTCTCTTAGTATACATGTATATTTTAAAATTGAAACTTGTAACAATCGTAAACACGAGGGAGGATGCGTGAACCAGTAATGGTATCACTTTCGAAATCTCTTTTAAGGCCGAACTAAATTATTGCGTCTTGCGAAATGGATAATATTATTAGTGTTTAGAATTATTTGCGCATGATGCGTTATCTTAGGCAGAGGTGAAATAGAGAGGAGAGGAGAGGCTCGTGTTATGTTGTTATATAGCTACACCTTACATATATATTGGATTAAGAATACGATATATTATTATTATTCCAAATCGTTCCTCCTGTGTTGGACTTCATGATTAGGAAGTGCATTTGGACGTAAACGATAGCGGTTGAAAGCGATAAATTTCATTTTTTCAGTTTGTAGATATATCCTTCTATTAAGTAAAAACAGTTCTGTTCTTACCCAAATATTGCGCATCTTCACGCGAATTTCAAAAGTTGTATACAGTTTTCAATTTTCAATTTCACAGAACAATGGTGGATTAATAGGAATGAATCACACCAGAAAAAAAGTTTTTTTTTCCGGACCGAAAACGCCTTTCAAAGCCTATTCATCAATTTCTCTCTTTTCACATTGGACGTATGTTGAAATGTGGATGGGTGGATTTTGTTTTTGAAGCCCAGGGTGTGGCTGTTTTCGAGGTTTTTAATTTTTTGTTTATGCTTTAGGCTGTTTTTAATTTTTTTGTTTATGTTTTACTGTTTGTAGCTACTGTAAGTAGCGTAGTACATACATGAACCCAGGAAAGAGGGTCAGTTTTCCAAAATAACCTAAAACCGACAGCCGGTATTTGCATTCAGCCCCCAAATATTGGTCTGCTTCAATTTCTCTGTTGAAACACTCGAAAAAAATCCAGATTTTGACAATTTGCCAGACGATCGAGTAAATTCACACAGTTGGATATAACAGGACAGTGCCCTCGTTTACACTGGGCCAGTGAGCATTTCCAGATACGTCATAATGTATACACGACACAGGCCTTTGCTAAATTCCAGCGTATCGTCTGGGGCCACTGTTTTTAAACACGCAAACAGGTGCCCCAAAATAGGTATGTGTTTTTGTAATAAGCTATGGTCTAAGTATGTTTTGTTTTGGTCTAAGTATGCGTTTTACCGTATATCCAGAAATCAGATCATACGTGCAAACCTTAGTGGAAATTGAGAAGGGTGGTTTGAACCCTAGTTTTCGCTTGGGCACGCATACACACGCGCACACACACACACGTGCAGTCAAGAATATACATGTATAAATCTGTTAACATGTAACGGCATCTTTTCCTTTTTAAAACAATCAAACAAAAAAAAAACTAAAAAGCCCAAGGCTCCTTCAAGTTAAATGCTCGTTTGAACTTCAGTTGTGCTTCCATTCACTTCTGCGGGAGACACTGCACCCCCCCTCCACCCTTCCCCTCCTGCAGAAACCGCTATCAAGCAAAAAGGTGCAGTAGATCAAAGCCAGATATTTTTCAATTTTTTCAAACCTTATATAGTAGTTCCCATGATATCGTGTATTCTTTTATTCTAGCCTTGGTGGAGCTGCCAGACACAGCGGAGAAATCCGTTGCCCCCGTCTACCGCATTCACACAGGTTTATTAAGAGAATCTTCACCTCGGCTGACGCCAACCAAGACGGCAACTTGGACGACACAGAATATCACAAGAATCTGTTTAGAGAGTTTGATTATGACGGTAAGTAGTAGATGTGAAAAATGGTTAAAAAATAGTGCCACACTTGGAACTTGGATTAACGTAAAAGTCATTACTTATTTTGCAGGTTTGTTATTAAATTTTTTTCGTACAATCTTCATTATTGGTTTTTCATAACTCCACATGCTTAGTGACTGGTATGCACTATTTTTTTTGGTTCGTAATATTAAAATTATTCTGAAATAGCTTAAACATCGCTATTACCGAACAACCTTACTCTCAAAATATTGGAAAATCCTGTAGATCCTGTTGATATAACAAGAACGAAATTAAATTAAAATTTCACACAAGACTAGACGGTGCAGTATCAAGTCAATAAAAGAAGTATATTTTCTTAGCTGACGGACGAGTGACAAGGGATGAATTCCTCAGAAAGTTCTTGGAATTGGACCAAGGTCATGAAAACGAGGCTTCGAAGCTGTTCGCAGCGGGAGATGTGAACCGCAACGGTTATCTGGACGATGATGACAAAACACTTGCTAAATACAGGATTGATTTAAATGGTAAGAAATACCATTTACCTTACCTTTTTAAATGAGAGAAAGTTGATAGCTTTTGTTACAAAAGATTACTGTCGAACTTGGTTGGCGTACATTCTGCTTCGATCGCATTAACTTGTTTCTCTACCATACCGGTAGTTGGTTTCAGAAATGGATACGTGATTATGTTTTATATTTCTACATCGTTATTACAATGCACCGTGGCGCGAACCTTTCTCTCTCTCTTTCTTTCTCCCTCTCAATTGATAATTTTCCATATATTTTAGATGACGGAGAGATTGGAGAATGCGAATTTCAACTCATTTGGACAAAGGTAAGATTTTCTTGATACTTGCAATTTCAAGAAGTTTTAGCTACTCCCATACGTACGTTCTATTTACCTCAGTGTTTGGCCCTTCTGTGCTCCATGCAGCTGGGACAAATGCTGCGTCTGAAGTAAAACGCTCAAATCCGTTACCGGTATTCCTATGAAGGACACTCAAGTGAATATTCCAACAAATAGACTCGTTCTCAAAATTATAAATCTTTTAGGCATTGTTGTTATGTTAATTTTCAAATTAATACATTTTTGGGGGGGTGGGGGGGGGGGGTGATGATATTTTCCCTACACCATCTGGACTAGACAACTGAGAAAAACAAATTGCACAGTATAGTCGTGATTTTATCCGTTAATTGATATGTGTTATTTTATATGGATTGCCTGCTGATATGCTGCCCATGTCATTGGATTAATGGCACGTCATTGGATTAATCACAATGCCAAGACTCACAATATTTTCCTATTTCAGATTGCAGACAGTGTACAAATAGGCCTGTAAAGATAAGGAAACCGACAGTAAGTGCCACGTACGACACTGTCTGTGTTGCTCGTTCGGGATCTTTTTTTCCATATCACCTAAACGTGAAAATATCTATTGAAGAGAATTCATACTATGCAAACTGTGTTTATCTTCAAAATTCAAATTTATGTCTTCGAGATCTCAATTTCTGCTTTACACTACAACAGCACGAGGAGGAATAAAGCGTGATTTTACACACAAGTGGCAATCTACATATGATGATATAATTATACTTTCATTCAAGCGACAGGAAGACTTGCTAGAATCAAGAATACCAACATCCGCGGAGACCGTATACCAGAGTCCTGTATCACTTTCTTTGAAAAAGCATTGGCCATCAGAAGAGTCAACAGAGAAGACATCGTGTGTGACTCATTTAACAAAGATGACTGACTGTTGATGTATATTTTTGTTTCAAGACAATTAATGTTTTTTACATCTCTTCAGTCGGTTTTCACTCATTCGTTTGTTTCTATTAGAGCGACTTCCACAGATGAATCTCTTATTTTGTTGAAGTCTCCGATTAAAATTGTTTTTCTTAATAGAGTGACAAGAGCATTAAATTCATCTATTTTTTACATCCTTTGGGAAACTATTGCAAATAGTTAACATGTATTTTAAGACAATGGAAATAAAAGCAATATAACAAGTTAATAAAAAAGATATCAATTACTGGATTTTTTTGTGCAGATGATACATCTTACCGTGCTGCATGATACACCTTACAGTTATGCCGTGTCGTTATTATTCTTTTCTGTTCAAAACCAAAAAATACCCTGTAATATTTTCATCACATACGCTGTAAGTGTTCAAGTATATTCTGAAATCCTAAATGTCTTCTCTAATATAATCCAATTGTAATGAAACTGCAATAGCTTCTCTAACGCAATAGGTATAGTGACGGATTTCAGCATGTTATGTAAGAAGTTATGTGGAATTGATCATAATTCTTATTTTGAACGGATTTTTCCAGTAATGATTTATTTTATGCTATTTGGAGGAATTTCTGTATCAGTATTACTCATTGAATGCTATTTGACTGAACTCCTGTTTCATAGTCCTTTCAGAGCCTAACTTGAAACTTACAGGATTAAAAAAACAAACTTATAGCTGGTATCCCTTATTTGGAAATGTGAAATTTCAATCTTATTCTAGAAGCTTTGAATCTTGGTGACCAACAATTATGGAGCACCAAACTAAATGTGAACTCCATTAAGTGGAATGATGAACGTTCAGATGAGTTTCAAAATTAATTTTAAAAAATGGGATCCAGCTTTGCCTGAAGGTTCACCAGAGAAAAAATTAAGGCGTCAATAAAATCCATAAATTATTTTGCACATTATTCTCTCAAGTATAAAGGACAAATTTGTCTGAAGTACCTTTTGCCTGTTTAGTTTTAGCACAAAAATGCACTTGTTCAATATATCAGTAATAAAAAAGCTACAAAAAGAAGTTTCATTGCACGACTTTATTATTCTCAAATTTTTCAAAGACAACCACAATTCCTTAAAACATACATGTAGCACATTCACAGAAATGACAACTGCCAGCCCAACATATAGAAAATAAATAAACAAAACTAATCTCTGTATCACAGTTATTCTGTCTTTCTGATCAATAAACAAAGCTAGTTGTTATCCACGACTTTGACAAATGATAATAATCATAATAAACCAACTGGTTATGCAATTGCCCTAACATAACCTTTTGTTTTAAACTATGAAGGATTTTTCAAATACTAGGGATGGTAAGTAAAAAGTAAATATTTCTCCATTAAAAAAGAAAAAATCTAGAAAAGGACTGCAGTTAAAAGTTCACATTTACCCCGATCATACACACAAGAACACACACACATACATCAAAATGCATTTGGAGATTTTTTTTCCACCTCGAGATAACATTTCATGCTTTCTATTGTGAAAATATATCTAAAAAGTTTAACTAAATCCAATAAAGTCTACTGTACAGATGCTAATCAAAACAGTAGAGGTTTAATTTGTGTAATAAGATAATTTCAAAATGATATTAAAATAATGCTATGAAAGTATCTTTGAATTATTTCCTGCATCTTAGTAAAAGGTTATTCATTTAAAAGCAATATATCAAAACAAAAGATCCCCATCCTGTGGCACATTTTCTGATCGTACTTATTTCCCTTAAACAAGAGTTCTTTTTTGTCTGTTTCATGGAACTAAAAGAACTGTTCATGATCACTTGGACTTCTGTAAACACATCTTTTTTGATCTTTGATGAAGCTGTAAATGTTTCTCTAAAATCTTTTGTTTATAAAACATGTCTAAGTCTCAAACCTGTCAAATTACAGCTGTTAAATATTATAAGTGACATGATTAATATGTACAAAATTAGAAAAGCAGCATATATATGCCAACAACGGAGCTAAGTCCCATGTCCTGTATTGAAGTAGGTGCCATCTATGGTTGAAAACTGAGGTCCTCCATGAGTGGATTTCTGACAGATTTTCAAGTAGTGCACCCAAGGCTGTACGACTCCAAGAGAGATTTCACACACCAGAGAATTTGGACCTCCTGGAAATATTTACAGGAAAAGAATCATACAAATTGCAAAATTAATTACTGCAGTCTGCTGCAGTGCAATATAAATTTTCGAGATAAACTTAAAAAACAGAAAGTGGCTGATTATTGATGCTGAGAGTAACCACCATGAAGCTTTTACTGTTTAAAAGTGAGAACAAGGTAAATCATACTCTTTTCTTTTTTAAAGCCTTCTCTATATCAATGCCATCTGGATTTTAAAAAAAAATTTTTTTTTGAAGAATGCTGAATCCTCAATCATGTTGGACAGAGAAACAGATACATGAATAGCAATGATTCCAGACACAACACACCGCCAAACTGAAAAAATTACGCAGCACTACCTGTTGACATGAACTGAGCAAAATACAGACTTCAACAGAAGCATACAGGGAGGTGATACAAGGCCTGGATATAGACCCACATTTGCTCAGCACTTACTTTGTGGCGTGTCCCTCCAAAGCTACTGCACACCGGTCTTCAGTGTCTGTCCACTGACCCTCAAAGTCCTCTGCCTTGGGCTGTGGGGACCTGCGCTTTCTGGAAACATTACACATATATAAATATCACTTTCAATAAATAAACAGGCATGAAATGAACAGCAAAGAACCCATAATATTTTAAGTCTTTAACATCAACATGTCATTCTTCAAGAACCTAATAATAACAAGGCAGCAAAGCTGTCAAATGTACAGACAAAAAACAGGAAATAACTATGCACAAAATAGGCTACTGTCAATTCTGATGCAAAAGTACATTATGTTAAACTGCAAATTCAACATCAAATTTTAATTATGCTCAAGNACACAGGAAAGAGGGGTCAGTTTTCCAAAATAACCTAAAACCGACAGCCGGTATTTGCATTCAGCCCCGAAATATTGGTCTGCTTCAATTTCTCTGTTGAAACACTAGAAAAAAATCCAGATTTTGACAATTTGCCAGACGATCGAGTAAATTCACACAGTTGGATATAACAGGACAGTGCCCTCGTTTACACTGGGCCAGTGAGCATTTCCAGATACGTCATAATGTATACACGACACAGGCCTTTGCTAAATTCCAGCGTATCGTCTGGGGCCACTGTTTTTAAACACGCAAACAGGTGCCCCAAAATAGGTATGTGTTTTTGTAATAAGCTATGGTCTAAGTATGTTTTGTTTTGGTCTAAGTATGCGTTTTACCGTATATCCAGAAATCAGATCATACGTGCAAACCTTAGTGGAAATTGAGAAGGGTGGTTTGAACCCTAGTTTTCGCTTGGGCACGCATACACACGCGCAAACACACACACGTGCAGTCAAGAATATACATGTACAAATCTGTTAACATGTAACGGCATCTTTTCCTTTTTAAAACAATCAAACAAAAAAAAACTAAAAAGCCCAAGGCTCCTTCAAGTTAAATGCTCGTTTGAACTTCAGTTGTGCTTCCATTCACTTCTGCGGGAGACACTCCACCCCCCNGTGCAAACCTTAGTGGAAATTGAGAAGGGTGGTTTGAACCCTAGTTTTCGCTTGGGCACGCATACACACGCGCACACACACACACGTGCAGTCAAGAATATACATGTATAAATCTGTTAACATGTAACGGCATCTTTTCCTTTTTAAAACAATCAAACAAAAAAAAAACTAAAAAGCCCAAGGCTCCTTCAAGTTAAATGCTCGTTTGAACTTCAGTTGTGCTTCCATTCACTTCTGCGGGAGACACTGCCCCCCCCCTCCACCCTTCCCCTCCTGCAGAAACCGCTATCAAGCAAAAAGGTGCAGTAGATCAAAGCCGGGCAAAAAATCCAGATATTTTTCAATTTTTTCAAACCTTATATAGTAGTTCCCATGATATCGTGTATTCTTTTATTCTAGCCTTGGTGGAGCTGCCAGACACAGCGGAGAAATCCGTTGCCCCCGTCTACCGCATTCACACAGGTTTATTAAGAGAATCTTCACCTCGGCTGACGCCAACCAAGATGGCAACTTGGACGACACAGAATATCACAAGAATCTTTTTAGAGAGTTTGATTATGACGGTAAGTAGCAGATGTGAAAAATGGTTAAAAAAATAGTGTCACACTTGGTACTTGGATTAACGTAAAAATCATTACTTATTTTGCAGGTTTGTTATCAATTTTTTTTCGTACAATCTTCATTATTGATTTTTCATAAATCCACATGCTCAGCGGCTGGTATGCACTATTTTTTTTTCGTGATATTAAAATTATTCTGAATTAGCTTAAACAGCGCCATTAGTATTACCGAACACTATCACTCTCAAAATATTGGAAAATCCTGTAGATCTTGTTGGAATAACAAGAACGAAATTAAATTAAAATTTCACACAAGACTAAACTGTGCAGTATCAAGTCAATAAAAGAAGTATATTTTCTTAGCTGACGGACGAGTGACAAGGGATGAATTCCTCACAAAGTTCTTGGAATTGGACCAAGGTCATGAAAACGAGGCTTCGAAGCTGTTCGCAGCGGGGGATGTGAACCGCAACGGTTATCTGGACGATGATGACAAAACACTTGCTAAATACAGGATTGACTTAAATGGTAAGAAATACCTTTTACCTTTTTAAATATGAGAAAGTTGATATGTTTTGGTTCAAAAGGTAACTGTCTAACTTGTTTGGAGTACATTCTGCTTCGATCGCATTATCTTGTTTCTCTACCATACCGGTAGATATTTTCAGTAATGAATATTTGATTATGTCTTATATTTTTTAATCGTCATTACAATGCGAACCTCTCTCTCTCTCTCTCTCTCTCTCAACTGATTATTTTTCATATACTTCAGATGACGGAGAGATTGGAGAATGCGAATTTCAACTCATTTGGACAAAGGTAAGATTTTCTTGATACTTGCAATTTCAAGAAATTTTAGCTACTCCCATACGTACGTTCTATTTACCTCAGTGTTTGGCCCTTCTGTGCTCCATGCAGCAGGAACAAATGCTGCGTCTGAAGTAAAACGATCAAATCCGTTACCGGTATTCCTATGAAGGACACTCAAGTGAATATTCCAACAAAAAGACTCGTTCTCAAAAATATTAATCTTTTTGGCATTGTTGTTATATTAATTTTCAAATTAATACATTTTTTTTTGGGGGGGGGGGGGTGATGATATATTCCCTACGCCATCTGGACTAGACAACTGAGAAATGCAAATTGCACAGTATAGTCGTGATTTTATCCGTTTATTGATGTGTGATATTTTATGTGGATTGCCTGCTGATATGCTGCCCACATCATTTCTGTCATTTCTATCGATTAATCACAACACCAAGACTCACAATATTTTCCTATTTCAGATTGCAGACAGTGTACAAATGGGCCTGTAAAGAGAAGGAAACCGACAGTACGTGCCATGTGCGAGACTGTCTCAGTGTTGCTCGTTTGGGATCTTTTTTCCATATCACCTAAACGTAAAAATATCTTTTGAGGAGAATTCATATCATGCAAACTTTATCTTTATCTTCAAAATTCAAATTTATGTCTTCGAGATCTCAATTTCTGCTTTACACTACAACAGCACGAGGAGGAATAAAACGTGACTTTACACACAAGTGTCAATCTACATATGATGATATAAACACTTTCATACAAGCGACAGGAAGACTTGCTAGAATCAAGAATACCAACATTCGCGGAGACCGTATACCAGAGTCTTATATCACTTTCTTTGATAAAGCATTGGCCATCAGAAAAGTCAACAGAGAAGGCGTCGTGTGTGACCCATTTAACAAAGATGACTGACTGTTGATGTATATTTTTGTTTCAAGACAATTAATGTTTTTTACATCTCTTCAGTCGGTTTTCACTCATTCGTTAGTTTCTATTAGAGCGACTTCCACAGATTAATCTCTTATTTTGTTGAAGTCTCCGATTAAAATTGTTTTTCTTAATAGAGTGACAAGAGCATTAACTTCATTTATTTTTTACATCCTTTGGGAAACTATTGCAAATAGTTAACATGTATTTTAAGATAATGGAAATACAAGCAATATAACAAGTTAATAAAAAAGATATCAATTACTGGATTTTTTTGTGCAGATGATACATCTTACCGTGCTGCATGATACACCTTACAGTTATGCCGTGTCTTTATTATTCTTTTCTGTTCAAAACCAAAAAATACCCTGTAATATTTTCATCACATACGCTGTAAGTGTTCAAGTACATGTATATTCTGAAATCCTAAATGTCTTCTCTAATATAATCCAATTGTAATGAAACTGCAATAGCTTCTCTAACGCAATAGGTATAGTGACGGATTTCAGCATGTTATGTAAGAAGTTATGTGGAATTGATCATAATTCTTATTTTGAACGGATTTTTCCAGTAATGATTTATTTTATGCTATTTGGAGGAATTTCTGTATCAGTATTACTCATTGAATGCTATTTGACTGAACTCCTGTTTCATCGTCCTTTCAGAGCCTAACTTGAAACTTACAGGATTAAAAAAACAAACTTATAGCTGGTATCCCTTAGTTGGAAATGTGAAATTTCAATCTTATTCTAGAAGCTTTGAATCTTGGTGACCAACAATTATGGAGCACCAAACTAAATGTGAACTCCATTAAGTGGAATGATGAACGTTCAGATGAGTTTCAAAATTAATTTAAAAATGGGATCCAGCTTTGCCTGAAGGTTCACCAGAGAAAAAAAATTAAGGTGTCAACAAAATCCATAAATTATTTTGCACATTATTCTCTCAAGTATAAAGGACAAATTTGTCTGAAGTACCTTTTGCCTGTTTAGTTTTAGCACAAAAATGCACTTGTTCAATATATCAGTAATAAAAAAGCTACAAAAAAGGTTCCATTGCACGACTTTATTATTCTCAAATTTTTCAAAGACAACCACAATTTCTTAAAACATACATGTAGCACATTCACAGAAATGACACAACTGCCTGCCCAACATATAGAAAATAAATAAACAAAATTAAATCTCTGTATCACAGTTATTCTGTCTTTCTGATCAATAAACAAAGCTAGTAGTTATCCACGACTTTGACAAATGATAATAATCATAAACCAACTGGTTATGCAATTGCCCTAACATAACCTTTTGTTTTAAACTATGAAGGATTTTTCAAATACTAGGGATGGTATGTAAAAAGTTAATATTTCTCCATTAAAAAAGAAAAAAAAAAATCTAGAAAAGGGCTGCAGTTAAAAGTTCACATTTACCCCAATCATACACACAAGAACACACATACATACATCAAAATGCATTTGGAGATTTTTTTTCCACCTCGAGATAACATTTCATGCTTTCTATTGTGAAAATATATCTAAAAAGTTTAACTAAATCCAATAAAGTCTACTATACACATGCTAATCAAAACTGTAGAGGTTTAATTTGTGTAATAAGATAATTTCAAAATAATATTAAAATAATGCTATGAAAGTATCTTTGAATTATTTCCTGCATCTTAGTAAAAAGTTATTCATTTAAAAGCAATATATCAAAACAAAAGATCCCCATCCTGTGGCACATTTTCTGATCGTACTCATTTCCCTTAAATGAAATTTCTTTTTTTTTTCTATTTCATATAACTAAAAGAACTGTGCATGATCGCTTGGACTTTCGTAAACACATCTTTTTGATATTTGATGAAGCTGTAAATGTTTCTCTAAAATCTTTTGTTTATAAAACATGTCTAAGTCTTAAACCTGTCAAATTACAGCTGTTAAATATGATAAGTGACATGATTAAATAATATGTACAAAATTAGAAAAGCAGCATAAATGCCAACAACGGAGCTAAGTCCCATGTCCTGTATTGAAGTAGGTGCCATCTATGGTTGAAAACTGAGGTCCTCCATAAGTGGATTTCTGACAGTTGTTCCAAGTAGTGCACCCAAGGCAGTATGACTCCACGAGAGATTTCACACACCAGAGAATTTGGACCTCCTGGAAATATTTACAGGAAAAGAATCATACAAGTTGCAAAAAATACTCTTCTGGAAATATTTTAAGTTATACGCAACTGAGCAAAAATAATTACTGCAGTGCAATATAAATTTTCAAGATAAACTTGAAAAAAGAAAGTAGCTAATTATTAATGCTGCGAGTAACCATTATGAAGCTTTTACCGTTTAAAAGTGAGAACAAGGTGAATCATTATCTTTTCTTTTTTAAAGCCTACTCTATATCAATGCAGAACTACTAGTTGACATGAACTGAGCAAAATACAGACTTCAACAGAAGCATACAGGGAGGGCTTCCTTCCAAAAGGAGTGATACAAGGCCTGGATATAGACCCACATTTGCTCAGCACTTACTTTGTGGCATGTCCCTCCAAAGCGACTGCACACCGGTCTTCCGTGTCCGTCCACTGACCCTCAAAGTCCTCTGCCTTGGGCTGTGGGGACCTGCGCTTTCTGGAACCATTACACATATATAAATATCATTTTCAATAAATAAACAGGCATGAAATGAACAGCAAAAAAAACATAATATTTTTTGTCTTTAACATCAACATGTCATTCTTCAAGAACCTAATAATAAAAACTAATGTCTGGATAAGATTATCACCATAAGTAGATTGAAACAAGCTGATATGTTGAGTATTTTAACATTATACAGCCTAACTACAGTTTGGCAAAAGAAACAAAAACCTTTTGAAATTTGATTAAAACATATTTTGCTTTGAATGTATAATATCAAAACATAAATCTGTAAGATTTTCTTTTATTGTCTAGGAATACAAAAAAAGTTAAAATGGACACTAGTCTCCTTATTTTTTACATCCCAGTTAAATATCTTCTAATCTTCGGCCTGGCCTCCCTACTACTAATATGTGGGCATCTGTACATACCTGGTACCAGGAGATATTTGTCGCAGGGTCTCCACGTCATTGAAGACCACACTTGCACCACCACCAGCAGTGGGGACTACATTGGCCTGGAACACAATAATAAACATTTTGGATCTCATATTATGAACTAAGGGAACAAATTTAAAAAAAAAAAAAAAAAAAAAAAAAAAAAAAAACACTTAAATATCATAATAATGAAATAATAGTTATTAAAAGACCAGCAGCTACCTTATACAGTTTGGTCTGCATCTCCCCGTCCGAGGCCTGCTCCTGGTGCTGAAGAATGTACTTGGAGGCAGTCATGGTGTCCTTCACCTCCAGCTTACTGACAGACTTCTTCTTTCGCAGGTTGGGCTGCAGCACCGTATCTGAGACAGACAGGTCATGAAATTATGTCAGGAAGTTTCAGTGTCGCGTCATGAAATTTCTCTTGTAGATTACAACTTTGCTGTGAAATATATCAAGATACAGTAGAATTATACAACACTAAGAGAGAGCAACGAGAGGATGATAATTCTGCACATGACTCAATAATTTCTTTGCAATAAATTGACAAGATGTTGACTTACCCAGCTCTATAGTTCCTGCAGGTTTGTGTTCTAGCCACACCTCATGGGAAGACTTGGAGCGTCTGTGAGCCTTAGGGTTGTACACTGGCTGGGACTGGATATCAAAGGCCAATACACATTGGTTATCACATCTTGTTTCAAATTGTTTTCAAATATATGTAATATTTTTTTTCACTATGAAGCTAATAATGAACATTTTGATGCATTTTAAACAGGGGTTTTCCCAGGATTTGGGGTACAGGGGTGCAAAATCTCAATCTATAATATGGTCATCGATTTACAGGGAGTCCAACCCAAGCAAGCCCTACCCAAAAATTCCATAAGCCATCCAGCCGTCTTTGGAAAAATAGGCTGTCTTTTGAGGCTAAAGGATGTTCAAATGACCGCTGGATGGCATTTTGGGGAAGGCCTTGCTTTTAAGCCTTTGGACATACACAATATATGGTTAAGCCCAAGGGAACCCGTCCAAGGCAAGTTCATCAGGCTAAGTGAGGTAACCTACCCCTTTGGGTGGTGGAGATGGAGCCCTCCTCTCAGTGGCCTTGGGACCATACGTCCTTCCTGACCTGGTGGCAGGCTTGGGCGTCCTCCCCGTGTAGCGCAGGTCCTGGTCGGACTTGGTCTGCACCCTGGAGGCGATGGTGGAGGTCATGTAGCGCGGCTTAGGGGCCACAGCTGGGCCTCGCCTTGGTGCCTTGGCTGGTGGTTGAGTCGGGGTATCAATTTCGTTAGAATCTATGATGGACTTCAAGGCTTGCAGTGTGCGCTCTCTCTGCCAGAGCTGGGCCTCTGCTTCTTCTTCAATTTTCCTCTTCTCTTTTTCCTAAATAATTGTAAATTCAAACTGAGAGATTTCCGGTTGCATGTATAACAGGAAGAAATTCAAATAGGGGGAAAGCATTCAATCAAAGCAAGTATCAAACACTTAGTTTCCATTTAAATTTGGTGTTACTGCAACATGAATCAAATGCTACGATGATTTAAAGTGCCCCTTTAACAAAAACTTACCAATTGATCCTCCATGTGCTGCTGGGTGAGTACCATCTTGCTCTTAAACTCAGATTTCATCCTTTCCCTTTCTGACTTTTCTCTGAGGATTTTCCAGTCTTTTTCATTAAGCTAAAACATAACAATAATAATAATAATAATAATATCATCACAAGAACAAAAAGTTTTTGGGCTAAAATTTTCGAAAATTGATCATCTTGACTCAGTGATAACTGAGGCCCATTTATTATTCTTGTGTAGTCTGAATTTAGCAGCCTGAGCTTTGGCCAATCTGTACTTTTTTTTTGGTAAAACAAAGTCAGGTATGTTACACAGGCAGGCCCACAGATTTAGCATCAGTGTAGAAAATAATAATAAATAAATAAATTGCAAAGGGTACCTCTGTCTCCAGCTCCCGTTTCATGTTCTCAAACTGAGTATTCTTCCTCTCCAGCTGATCGTGACTCTTCTGCAGGCTGCGCAGTTTCTTCTCCACCCGCTCAAAGCTGTTGTCGCGTTTTCCGAGCAGATTTTCAAGCTCATCATTGCGATGCCTCAGGTCCATGTTCTCCTTCTCTGTCTTCAACAACTGGGCACGGAACTGATCAACTAAAAACAGAAGACAGGAGAGACAGGTTTTAATTTGACTTTGTTCTAAAAACCTGAAAGTGTCAAAGACTAGAATAATGACATGCGACTTGTGGGTAAAAAAAAATTACAATTTGTAAGAGTACTCAATTCCTTCTATGCACAATAATATTATTGTTTAAATTGTAAATATACAGATTGAAAAAATAATAATAATAATCTGACAACAAATTAAAACCACTCTTCAATATCAGGGAGCTTTCATGCAAGAAATGGGTATACTAAGAGATTTCAATTGGAATGTGTTCGAAATATAATTTGAAAGGAATATAATAGAAACGATTAGTACTTCTGGTCTCATCACAGATCACAATGCTTACATTTACTGTTCAGATCTGTTATTAAAGTGTTCCTCCTCATTTCCCTCTCAGCCAAGAACTGTATCAGGGGTACTATGACGCTTTCATCACTAGGATCAAGCAACTGGAAAGAACAATCAAATATGAAATATTGAAAACATGAGTCTTGATAAGATATTTTCCTGACATACCTCAGTGTATCTTACAGTGCGGATGTTACAAGTGACTGGGGACTTCTCATCAAATGGAGCAAGATTTCACAGGGTTTGAAGGAGGATGGTGTCAGATATAATGAACACTAGCCAGTGTGGGAACGAATAAAAGATGGCAAAAATCTGTGAAAGTACAATCTATTGCACAACAGTAAGAATTACCCATGTTCTGCATGTTCTTACGTATTACTTTCTAAGACAACAGCTCGTGGCTTCACACTTTGTGCATGTATTCTAGCTTCATATCATGACACAAATGAATGAAATTAATAAAATCATCACTCTGCTATACTTTATCAACAGTACCTCACTGAAAATGATGGGTGAATGGAAAAAAAAAAAAAAAAAAAAAAAAA